GTACTCTCCAATTTTTACTATTGCCAGATCAGTAGCAATTCAGATTCAACAAAGCTTTAGCTGGCTCAGAGAGACCTTGGTCATGTGGGCCAGCAGGAATTTTATTGTAAGCCAATTGTGTGTTGTTTTATTTTAAAAAAACCAAATTGACAGCTTCTATGTTTCAGTAACAATCAGAGGGAGATGCTGTTAAGAATTCACTGTGCAGCAGAATAATAAATAGGAAACAAATAATTCTTATACATTTTAGTTAGGTATCAATCCATCTTGCCTGGAATTTATTCATTTACTGAGATAAAAACCAGAATATATGGTTAATAATACATTATCGGAAGTGTGTAAATCTATGCTTATATGCCTGTCTCGTAAATCTACGCTTACATGCCTGTCTCTAACGATCTGCTATTAATTACCATTTTCATTCAAGAACACAAACAGATATATAAAAATAAGGGACAAAATAAACATACAATCACAGTACAGCATAATTGAAATACACCAAAACTATAGATAGACAGACAGAGAGACAGACAGACAGACGAGACAGTAGTGCTGTGAAAGCTTGCTTTATGTATTTGGTGTTTTTAGTTGGCCTCAAAAGAGTATCGATGTTTTTATGGCCAACAAATCTACCCTGAATATGTTTACAACTTAATGCTACCGTTTATGTAGCATGGGATATGTGAGAAGGGTAAAACTGAACACTAGGAATTCATGCTGAATTGTGTCTGGTGGGCTCTTTCAACTCCCATTGCTTTCATTTAGTTACACAGCACTAATTAGGGTTCAGTCAAGTCAACTCCACCTAGAGTTTAGTTCTGCTCAATTAAATATGAGTGGTACTGACTGTGAATGCTCACTCTGAGATGGCAGGAGGGGTCACCCATTTACTCATTCCTCGCATGCCAACTGATAAAGCAGGAGACTGAGCTCCTTCTGTTGTGACCACTGAGATTTGATTTATATAGCTACCCATAACTCATTATCTTGGCCATAACCAAATTTGAAATCAAACAAGAGACACCTCTGGTTTATAGCTGGAATATGTCTCCTAGTTCAACTCTCACCCCAAAAAACTGTTCAGGTGCCCTTCCTTCTCCAAAAGACAACCAACAATATAAATCCTCAGGGAGCTCCTGGGAAGTCTCAGAATGTCTCTGAGGATTATATTGTTACTGTGCATCCAGCACAAACAGCAATGGCTCTCCTTCTCAGAACGGGGATCTGACACACTGAAGAGGTGGTTTAGACACTGGTTTTGGGTTTTACACATCCAAAACAGAACTCCAATCTTGGTAACAACCAACATGGTGGGTTTATTCATTTATTTGTTGCATTTGTTTTTTAATTGGCCTCAAAGGAGTATTGCTGTTTTTCTGGTGTAAGCTATGCCATTATGATTCACAAACAGAATGCCAGCTATTAACTTGCTGAATTCTGCAAAAGTTATTCACAACTTGGGGGGAGGGTGTCATATTAATGACCTTGATAAAACCGTATGTATGTATGTATGTATGTATGTATGTATGTATGTATGTATGCTAAAGCACATATTCTTCTATCGAGCCACAAAAGCTTGATTAAGATTACGACTTGTCATCTTGGGGGGTTAATTATGGAACGAGGAACAGAGGAGCACAGAAAACAGGAAAAATACACAGAGAGAAAGGACCAGAGAACAAATAGTGGCATAGAAAATGAGGGGCAATCTCTGTTTTTTTCAAAGACTTGTATTTTCCTGATTGTCTGTCTAAACCAGTGGGGGACTGGCAATTACTGCTTTCCAATGTGCCAGGAAGCAGCACAAATGTGTGTGCCCAATGGCCCAAGGATGAGCACTAATCCTGAAACCACCCCTTCTGAGTAGCACTGGTCTAAACAACAAGTTATTTCTAAAGTGGGAGAGAGGCCAACAAGGAAATATATACATCCCCAATTTGTGATAACATATTCCAAAGGGTATTGGAATTACACCATCAATCTTACCTTTAGAAAGATGTCAAGATCTATAACTCCACGTCTCAGTGCTTCTCCCAGGTAAAAGATAGTGTCTTCAATGGCATTTTCTTCAGCATACAAGTTCAGAATCTGTTTATAAAGTGGTGCTGTAGGAACAATGACTTCATCTATGTCATTATTTTCTGTTTGACTTTCCATTTTTTCTAAGGCAGAACTCAGTTCTTCATCTTTCTTTTTCAGGAGGTCAATGTTCTTGTCAACTTCAGCCTAAAACATATGCAAGTCAATACATTTGTTTGAAAATGTGCTCATATTCTTTAATAAATACCCTAAATTTCAGTGTAATGCAACTAAAGCTCAATACGCATCATTTTGAAAATATTATAGTAAAAAGAAAGTCATTAGGATCAGATCTAAGACCTAGCTAGTACAGTGTCCTGTTTGCTAGTGGCCAACTTGATAGCTAGAAAGCCTAAAAGGAGGGCATGAGAATGCTCTCCAGCAATGAGGGTTTCAAGATAGAGACCCTTTGAGGGTGGAGAAATCATAAATTAATCCAAATTAAGACCACAACATCTAAGGCGAATAGTCCTATCTTATGCTATCCAATTTCCTATCCTATCCGATCCTGTGCTTTTCTTTTCCCTTTCTGTCCAAGTTGTTTAACCATTGGTTCATCCCAGCGAATACGAGGTCTGCCCAAACACCACTTGTGATCTCTTGGTATCCAGTTTGGTCGACATGTCCATTGGTTGTCTTTTGTTCATGCTATATGCCCTGCCCATCTTCTTTTTGCCTCATAGATTTCATTGACCACGCCACATATCCTGGTTCTTTGACAACACCTCTTTATTGCTGACATTATTTCTTATTGTCATGCCACAAATCCTTCTTTCCATTGCTCTCTGAGTCACCATCAGTTTTTCCTCCTCTAACTTTGTTGTTGCCCATGTTTCAGATGTGTATGACATTGTCAGTAAAACTGTAGCGTTGAAGATACCTGCAGTGCTCTGACCTTCATTGGCACCTAATCAATAACCTGTTAGCACTGTCCGGTCTTGATTAAAAGCCATCCAAGCAGCCTTGCGTCTTATTGCCCATTTGCCATTTTCCAAATTATTCAATTGTACTTGCTGTCCAAGATAAACATATTCAGTCATTTTCTCAATTTCATCTCCATTTATAATGATGTGGTCCTGGACACACTGTTCATTTTTCATCCATTTCATTTTCTTCAAGTTCATTTGTAGTCCTACTGATTTTGGGAGTCGAGCTAGTTATTGGAGATTATACTGTATAGTTACAGATTCATTATCATGAAGATCATCATCATCGCCATCATCATTATTAGACCATCTCTCCCATGACTATCACAGCTTTTCTCTGTAACCCTTAAAGTAGGATTATATCTAAAGCCTTTTGAAAGTTGAATGCCATCCATATGTTTAAAAATCACAGAAACATCTAAAACATTAACGGGGAGGGATTTCCATCTGCAGAATGCATGTTCATTCTTCTTTGGCAAGATGTGCCAAAAAAGTCTGGAGCTTTCTCTAGTAGCCACTGTTTGCTTCAGTTCTTCAGACTCAAATGTGCTTATTAAGATGTCCTTATCTTTTCTTCAGTGAGGAAAGATAAAAGAATTCGCATTGCTTCTACACAATCTCCCTATTCTTCTTTGGCTCTACTTTTAGTTTCTTTGTCATTCAACAAGTTAGTTTGTCTGGTGCTTCCACTTTGTTTTCAGCAATAAGCACTTCATTTTTGTGTACACACTTGTTATCAGCCATTCATTTTTTGTTCTAATTTGAGCGAGACTTCCATTTTATGAAGGAAGAATCTTGTAGTCACTATAAGCAGTGCAGCAAAAGATGCTTGGGAAGAGTATACTTTTGATGGTTTCCATGATCAGAGACCAGGAAGCTTTGCATGTGGTGCAGGACACTAGACCATGGCACATGGTATAGGGAATGTGGTAGGTTACTGAAGGCCTGGCCACCCACTCACATACTTCTTTGGAGCTTTGCAGCAGGGCTGGATCAAGGAAGCACCTTCTTGGCATAGTCAATGGAGTGTGTGTGTAAAGAGATGCTTTGTGGGTTGTGGCGGTGAAGGCAGCTGCTCCATGTAGAGCCGCTTCCTTGGCTCTGCTTCTCCATTTCTTCTGGCAGGGTCTCCTTAGTGCCTCCCATACTTTTCTCCTCAATCAAGACTACCCTCCAACCGCCTGTCCCTTCTTGTCTCCTATCAGTTTTGCTGTACCAGCCATCTCCTTAGTCCCCACAGCACTGTTTGAGGGATGCACATTGATGACTGAGAGACTGGTAGCTGGTGACGTAAGCAGACATTTGTTCCACCTTCTTTGGATCAACTTTGCTTGCTAGTCATGCTGCAATTATCCACTACTTAGATATTCACAAAATTTCACTATCATTTATGCTAAAATACCTGTGAACTATTCCTCTATAAAATAAGCATAGTCAGAAGCACTTATTTTTCTTCCAAAACCTTTACAACATACATTCTCCATCATAGTTAATGCAGCGTGGACTCAGATAACCCAGTTCAAAGCAGATATTGTGGATTATCTGCCTTGATATTCTGGATTATATGGCTGTCTAGAAGGGCCCTCAGTCCATTCTCAGCCTTCATATCTCTGCTCAGCATGAAGCTGCCCAACTAATGTAAAAAAGTAACCAAGTGACCAATACAAATTAACTGGTAGACCACTGATGAGCTGTTAACATTTGGTCATGATGCTAACAAAGACTCTGAAACCCATCTGTCTCATGGCAGAGACCTACCTCATCACAAGGGTGAATCCTTCATCCCTTGTGAATACTGTTGCTTCCAAAAAAAAAATGTCTCTTAGTTAAGCACCAGGTGCTGCAACCAGTAAAAGCACTGGCAATGAAGGAGAACCTCTGAACAAATTTGTGACAGGACATATGAGGCCAGGAAACCCAACATTTGATAGTCTAAAAGGACCAACTCTGTTTGCTTACCACTTCCTGGTCAAGGCGAGTTACCATCTCTTCAAGTTTTTGATGGCCCTTCTTCAGATCTTCCTCTGTCCGCTTCAAAGCATTGAGCTCTGCCTGGGCCCGGTCCATCTCTTCTTTCATTCGCCATCTCAATTTATCACTGACTGCTGAAATAAGAGAAGCTCTAATAGTATCTTCACTAATTGTGCCATCTCTGCTGGGACCTGTGGAATAAAAAACATAGTAACAAAAATAAGCCCTTCTAATTGCAAAGAAGCTTGCACAAGGCAACTGTTCATAATTTTTGATCTATATATGTATTAATTTTTCAGCAATATAAGTATTATTATACAATTTATAAAGACAATAATTTACCAGTATATAAATTATATTGTTATATACAACAATTTAAAGTAGTTTCCCCCACCTGCCCTATTGAAAAACAGTAATCAAAATGAAAATAAAATTATTAAGATGGACTCCCCACCCCCAAAGACACACTGTGAAAATATTGTTATAACCTCACTGATCTATCATTTTAGACATTTTCTTCATTCAACTGTTCATGTTTTTAAAGAATAAAAGCTACAGAGTATTATACTACTTTAATTTGCAGAATTTACATTTCTGAAGGTACATACATAAACTTCCAAGTTGCTCAAAATTCCATGTCTATGCTCCTAGCTTAGCAAAGTCCCGATTATCTTATCACAGAGTACAACTATAAATATAAAAGATTTCTACATAGATTTTTACATTCAGAGCAACAAGCACTAATGAACCTGTCTATTCATCATTTTAAATGAATTGAAGCAGAGCTGTGTGACATATGCAATAAAACACTACTTTTTAAATAGCAAATATTTATTTTCTTCTATATTCATATGTCATGTAAAATATGATACAACAGAGGCCATTTGACATATAATTCCATGTATTTGTCATGGGCAATTGGCATTCTTTCTTTTTCTCTCTTTTTCAAACTGACAATCTAGAAATGCACACCAATAACCGCAATCTATAGCTTTTTTTCATTGTCTTCTGGTGGACATTATTTTAGAAAATCCTTTATAATTAGGATTTCAGGTTTTATAACCATTAATATCCTATTTTACATAGTAGTGTTACATCCTATGAATATATTTTCTGTAGTGTTAACTGTACTGTGGAAGTCGATACACAGTGATATCAACTAACAGAAATTAGAAAAAGAACTCTAATATTAAAATTATTTTACCTTATCATACCAATTCAAAGTGCCTCACAGGTTTCATATGTAGTCTGAGCTTGCTGTCATCCATTTTGCTCAATATTAAAAATCTTCTTCTTAATTACTGACTTTTTCATAACTCTCAGTCCATTCTCTTTGTCCTTTTAACAATTTCCCTTGCTATAAAAAGCATCAGATTCCTAAAGATCATCATAATATAGTCCATCCCAGCAATTTCTCAGTCTTCAATGTTAACTTTTTAAAATGTCCACCTAGAAACTATAACTGAACTAGTAGAATTCATCCTGTAGTTTTTGGATCTCCTCTGTGTTGCTTGTAGATTCCTTCTTTAAGCCAAAATGATTTTGGGAACCATTGTCTCTGATCTGTCTTTCCAACTCAAGACTTGGTACTTCACTTGATGAAAAATAAAGGATATTGTATTATTCCGTTTCAGAACTTTTCCTTCAACCTTTCATTTTCTTTTGCATCGGTTTCAATGATACTGAACCAAGATGAGTATAAGCTTTTCAATGTGAAAGTTCTTAAAATTAATGTTGACTATTTTCTAGATTCTCGAAACACATTTCAAATTTAGTTATTGATTGTAGTATTTATCAATGTATTCTTATCCACTTTCATTATCTTCATTCCATCTTCAGCCTTGGACTCATGTAAGTTACAGTTCATAGTCCTAAGTAAACATCCAGTCCATAGTCCTAAGTAAACATCCCATATGATGCCTTAAATATTTCTGCTCTGCTCTTCAAAATATATCAGCTTGCAATGTCTATGGGCACTGAAAAATGTTGTCAAACAATGAAATTCTTTTGCACGACAAGCTTCAATTAAACAAACAAAAATTCTTTTAATGAAAAACATTAATATGTCAGTTCTGCTGGGGGCTTTTTTGGGGGGGGGAGTTATTTCAAAGATTGGCAGTATTACCTTTCATTACATTGGAAGACCATATTTTTAATAAGTTAAGAATATGGAATAGATAGTTCCAGGTTCCATTCTCCCTATAAACATGCTTAAAATGCTATCAAAGAAAGGATGACCAAGAAATGCGCTTTACTGATACCGAACATTTTTCATACAATACTTTTGAGATAAAAATCACATATATACTTCCAAAAAATAAATATGTACAGAAGAAATTTAGGTTGCTACATGCTGCTATATGCATACAATCAGTTATTTCAGACAAAACAAAACAGAACAAATTGTTTTTAAGAAATTCATCCAAACTCAAAAATGAAACTAAGTTAGATCAATGAAGAAGCAAGGACCAGGATGAACATCTATAACAGAATATAGCTTGTCTGCATGTTTTCGAACAAATCACAATTTCATCCATTAAATAGAAGCACATATTTGGGAGTTACACCTACACAAGGGCAAGTGTAATTAGAAAACTAGGAACATACCTATTCCATTTTCTTTGCTTTTAGCTTTAAAATATTGTTATTAATATGTTGTGTGTTCCACTAGCAACTGAAAACTGCAAATGCTGGGTTCAAATCAGTATGTAGAAGTCATTTTCTTTTCAAATATATCTGGCTTTTATTAATTAGTATGATAGGAAGTCATTCTTTTTTAACACTATATATAATCTCAGGTGATTTGTGCAAAGTATGAGTGAAGTATGGCTATGCAATACGTATAAAGATGCTAGGCTTAATTAGCCAAAACTAAGTAAGAGTGATTTGTGACCTAATAAAAGCGGTTTAATAAGTACATCAATAATTATATGAATTCCTCTCACCTGACATAAATACAAAGTCAAAAAATATCTTTTACAGACTAAGAGCAGAATGGAACATGGTTTCAGCTGGAGCAAGAGCAGAACTTTGTAGAAAGAACTATTGCAGTTCCTCCTCCCAATAATCCAGAAACACTCCAGCATTAGTTATCTGGCAGTTGAGGAAAGGGAAGTTCAGTTGTTCTGATGTAGAAGTGTGAGGTGATAGCATGATTCTGGATTTAGGAGCAGACATTGTATTTAATGGACTAGATGTGTGGTAAGAATGCCACAGAATAAGTGAGCAAATTAAGCCAGCATTCTAATACAGTACCTTTAAAGTAGATTGATATCGGTTTCCTGCTGTCAACATGTGGTTCCTCCATGCCAAACCTGCTGGCAAGGCAGCTTGCCATAGATACAACACATGAACTAAGAAGATGTCTCTGAAAAGCTAACACACAAAGCAAACCCCTGTGCAAATAGTGGACTAACAACTGAGTACAATATTCTCCCCTACAGATGTCTGTTCCTCATGTACAGGTATATTTAATTATTTACTACATTTATATCCCAACCTTCTCAACCCGGATGGGGATTCAGGATGGCCTTACAAAGGCAACTATTCAAAGCCATATATTCATAAGTACTGCTTATTCCATAAGTACTGCTTATTCCATATACACATAACTCAGGACAATATTTTAATCAAATATATTTACTTATGTCCAAAACATAAATAAAGTAGAAATTTAAAAGTGGCAATCTCAATGTGTATATACAATTTTACAATGTACAATTGTCATAATGTATTCATAAGAAAACTAATAGCTTACAGACCTCTTTTAAGTACATGAGTTAAGAGTTTCTATCACTTCCATAATTAGCTACTCTTTGAGGAGATGTAATGGCATACAGCCACTTATTTCAGAGAACATTCAAGACATCTAACCTTTGCCATATAGAGTCTGATTTCACAAATGACCTTAAGATATTGACCTTACAGTACTGCAGATGACCTTCTGAATTAGAAAGTAAAGCAGAAGCCAAGGCTCAACTTGCCAGCTAAAGAAGTTAAGTTATAAGCATTTAAAATATATATATTTAAAAATCTCTACCATCAAGCAGATTTCAATATAGCATATAATCTTCAACACCATAATTGAACAGTGTTGTAGTGCTAAACTTTAATCAAATAGGGATCCCAAACAAGGGGATAAATAAATGTCAATTCCAACTATAGAGTTGGAAACCAGTGACATTTGCACCAATGGTGACGAAATCTAGTGGGGTTAAATGTTAAATATAATTTTATTAGAGTGCATTTATTCTTAAAAGTAATTAGATATGAATAAGGGCTCCAGAACAGGTTGAAAGCAACCATTTTGCTAACTTCCAAAAATGCCATAGTAGATAATTATTTAGCTGAGCTTGCCATTATATTATCTGCCATCGATTTCAAACTATAGCAACTCTACAAATGGGAGAACTCCAGTCAGCAATTACCATGACTCAGGTCTTGCAAACTTAAGGCTATAGCTTCCTTGGCTTAATCAATCCAATGGTACTGATTTTCCTCCTTTCCTACTACCTTCCACTTTACCATATGTCCAAAGTACAACAGCCTTAGTTTAGTCATCTTCACTTTTAGGGAGAGTTGAGACATTATTTGCTCTAAAACCGATTTGCCTTTTTAGCAGTACATGTATCATTAGACCTTTTCTCCTGCACCCTATCTTAATTAGGTAATTTTCTGCCTTTCAGCTTTCCTCAATATTCAACTTTTACAGCAATGAATAGGAATGAGAAATACTACACTCTGGATAATTCAATGGATCAAACTTTACAGTAACCAACACGTTGTGTTCAAATAAGATACAGCCAACAACATGAACTATGAACATCTTAAACAACTCAAGAAGGTTATTCAACATTGTAACTTTTAACATGAAATGTTACAGCCTTTGAGCAATATAATAATCTGAAGACAAAAACCTAAAAGTTAATATTGACACAGTTGATCACCACCTTTGACATGAAATGACCTTGCTTCCTGAAGAATGCAGAATGTTACTATTCACTTGGCAATATAAAACTGTTCTAGTATTGCTTTGTGTAAATGGAAGATATTTATGTAACAAAATCTGAATAAAATAAAACATATTGATTTATAAAAATAATGGTCACCAATTACCCATTATAACACATATTTACAGTTTAACATTATTATTATTATTATTATTATTATTATTATTATTATTATTTTAATACAGTGCTTTTCAACCAGCCAGTTTACCAGCTTTTAGGATTTCTGGGAGTTGATGTTTTATCTGGGGACCCACAGGTTGAGAACCACTGCTTTAATAGAATATAATAAATTTTGGGGAGTGGATATTCTAATTGGTAGCGGATTGCATCAATAGAGAACATTTAGCAACCTGAAGAACATTTCAAGATAGGTTTAGGGGGAAATCATTCGCATCATTCAATTTTCAATGCCTGCTAACATAACACATAATGATGAAAAGAGACAGACTATTTTATTTTAAAAACAGACAATCCAAATGATACAAATTAGATGGATCAATAACTCTTACCAAAAACGAGATAGAAAAAAAATACTAGGTTTTTACAGAATACTGGAACTCAAAGCCCTATTACTAGGAAGTATACAAAACACAAACTGCTGCAAGTGCTTTTAAGTGGGGCTATGTGTGCCCTGGAATCCAGTTCTTGTAATACCTAAAGGCTATATCATTCTTCTTGCTGGAAAATCTCAGAGGTATTCAAAAGAGAAGTTGAATAAAATAGCAATGTCCACTTTCTTCATCGTAAGTTGTACTAAAGTTCATTTTCAAACATGCAATATTTATATGGATGTCTGCAGTATTTCATTTGTGTAGTCCTGCATTCCTCAGTCAAGCTTGTGCTGAACTACAGCTTCAAAATTCTACCTCCAGAAAACTTAACAGGTTCAGAAGTTTGGTCATTAAAGCCATCAGCTATATTTCTTCTGTAATTTGGATTCATATAAGTAGAGAAACTTGTCTCTCTTTCATGTATGTGCATGCATGCACACACACACTTGTGAAAGAATTCAAAGGCACAATGTTATATGAAAGTAATTTACATGGGATTCTGCATCAAAACACTGAGACTTCTTTTCTTCTGAAACTTTTTAAAAATACAGAACTGTTAATTCTATTACATGGTTTTGCTGTGCAAATGTTTTCCTATCTTTTATTCTCCTCTCAACTAACTAACAACATTAATTCCAAGATATATAATATATAGAATTGTAATCCCACCACATTTGGAAATTTCTTTAGTCCAGGGTGATATAACCATAGCTAAAGCACACTGCTTTGCATTTTAAATCCTTTATAAATGTCATTAATTGCACTGAGAATATTGTGGTGATCTTTTACAACAAAATGATGCATTACAGGAAGTGGAAAAAGCAAACATTTATGTGTTTCTCACAACCAAGGCATACCACTCCAAAGCTAAAAACACTGCCACCTATAACAACCTTTCCATAAATTTCTATGGAAAAAAGTACATTTTTTTTCCTTTGTGAATACAGATCTATCTCTGAATCAAAATGAATGTGATCATATAATTTCTCAATAGAAGTATCAGTTTTCAGGGCAAGACTAAGATCAAGCTCATAAAAGTTTAAAATTACAGTAACTTTATCTCATAATCATGTGTATAATGTGCTATAGCAACACAGCTCCAGAGTCAGTTCAGATATTACAGAAACCAGAGTTCACTAAAGCTGTAAACATGCATCAGACACATACTTTCCCCTTTGTCTTCTTTCTTGTCTTTTGGAGCTACATTTCCCATTATAGTTGAAATGGGAACTATCAATCTATTAATCAGCATCTGAAGACAATCAGGGATCTCGTGTGCTCTTTCTCTTTCTCTCTCTTTTTCTTCATCAATCTCCTGAATATATTAGATATCTTCTTCAGCTGACTTACCTACTCATATCACCTCATTCAAGATTTTATACAGCATTTCTTAAATTTATTGTAATATTAAGAACCAATACTGATGAGTAGTCCAACTCATACTTTAGGCTGATATATGTATATGCATTCCTCTGTGAAAGTTAGGCTATAAAACAGAATTAAACGATTTGGCACTGTTTCTAAGGAAACATCAGAAATTAATTTAATATTTAAAAAGTGAAGCAAAACTTAACACAATTAAATATATGGGCAGATGTGCAGCTGCGTCAGCTGCCGGGCAGCACATGACACTACAACATTACCAACCCATGCCCACCACATTAATAATAGATCAATTTTCCTACTTGCAAATTCCACACTGCTCACAATCTTATAACAATCTTTTATCTGTAGAGCTTCAACACTAGTAAAAATCACAAATCCTCTAGTATAAGTCAAACCAAAGTCTCCAAAGCATTCAGTAAATCCAGGATGAAGATTTCTGTTCCACTTTCCGACAAAAGGACACCGTTGAGATGGAACAATCCAGGAGATCCTGGCACAAGTGTATCATGTCGAACAACTACTCCTCCAGTACGCTCAATAAAATGGCCAATTGCTTGATTGACTTGTCTCCTGCTTTTCTCCATCACTTCATGGTGTATCTCTTGGTTCCATACTTTACGGGGCACAATATTCGACCAGACCAGAATGCTATTCTTTAATATTTGCTTAAGATGTCCCAGATCCTTCTTCATTTGGTTTATGATATCCATATTTCTGTCTGTCCCCAGGTCATTTCCCCCTAAATGGATCACCAGAACATCAGGATCTGGTAGACGACGTCGCGCATGCAACAGAGTGGGTATTAACTGGTCCCAAGTCATGCCGCTCTTTCCTAGCCAATGTATTTTGGCATCCTGCAGCCGAACACCCAATTTTGGGCCAAAGCTTCTTTCAAGTGCTCGTTTTTCTGCCCAAAAAACGTAAGAATGACCACAAATCCATACCTGTTTCTGCTTTCTTCTGCCATCTGCTATTAAGAGAACAAACATACATTAATTCTTTGTAAACGCTGAGGCTTAAGCACTTTCTGAAAACTTTACCCAGCGTGGTTTTATACTATAATATTTGCTGTAACAGCAAAATCACACCGTGAAATGGTTTCCTCTACACCAAAATGTATGTCTTTTGTATCCATTAAGCAATATTTTTATCTGAATGCCAGTCTAGAAAGCTATAACACAGTGGTGTTGTATGTTAAAACACCTGTGTCTGAATAATATCAATTGAAAGGAATCCATGCTTATTACGCAGGGCAGAATGACAGAATCTACTGCAAAAAGGTGTACTTATTAAATTAAGAGTTTAAAATGTATGCATTTAGCAATCCCCCTCTTTTTTGTTGGCATATTATACCTCACTTTAAAAAAAATTGAACTTTTAAAAAAAACTCAATGTAGAATTATATGTATTAATTTCCTCATATTGTTTTTTATGGTTTCTGATTTTTGTTGCTACATTCAATTCCAACATAGCACAACAAAAAAAAAGCCCACTTAGTACTACCTTAGCAGAATAGCAATTTGGGCCCTTCTAAGTACTGCAAATTTCCAGACCTAAACCATAAGACATTTCTAGTAAGTCTAGTCCTTCCATAAAAGTGAAAAAGTCTGTAGTTCAGATATACTGTAGTACTGCAAAATTACAGGAGAAAAAAACTTGTTTTGTATGCTGAATAAGATTGGACCTTCTAAATTAAATATCGAGGTTTTCGAGTTTTAATTAGTCCCTCTTTACTAGAGGGCAAAGGCATCCATTATTAGTGACAATATATAAAATCCAAGGTCTGGCCACTGAAATTTATTAGGGCATCCTTTCTAAACAAAACTAATTACTAATATTTTACAGTATTTTGCGTAGCACTCATCTAAGAAATACATATAAGTACCCAGCAACCATATTGAGAAATCAATGTACGATGAAACATTGTTGCTGATCTGAATCTTTGGCTTATATATGTTAAGTATTCCTTAGAAGAAATGTTTTGGAACAGAAATATTTTGTATGTTGGATATTTTGGTATTTTGGAATACTTGTATTTGCACTTACATATACATTTCTTGCCATTTCAGAGATCTTCAGTGTGAAGAGAATTGAGGAGCTATGAAATGGCAGGAATCCAAGCAAACTTCTCAGTGCAAACCCATGTTTCCAATAATTTCAGTTTTCAGTCTCTCTTCAAGCTTGCATTTCACTGGTGCATGAGACAAAAGGCTGTACTGTAGAGACTGAGGGTCTGAGAGATGAACAAGCAGGAGTGTAGCAGCTGCTCTCTTGAAGGCAGAAGCAGAAAGTTGGTGGCAATTTTTGTGGGTTTGTGGAGGTTTTTGAATTTCCAGATAAGGGAGGCTCAATCTGTATATACATAAACTTCACAAAGTATTTCCAGTAACAAAGACAGTCAGGCATTTCATGTTTCTTCTACAATGACTTCAGCTCTTGCATAGCCACGCAGAGGTAGAACCAGTAGTTCACATACGGGAGAAAGTAGTTATCAGTCCAACTCCAGTTAGGTGTGATAAAAAAGGCTAGTGTACCGATTCCACCACAATCATGTTCTTCCATGTTATTATTCTATACCTTTGAAATGAATGCCCTTAAAATTTCCCATTTTCAACAGACACCAGGCAGGAGGTTCACAAATCAACTATAAGACCAACATCTGGACTTCAGTCACTTCACCTAAGCTTCTTCGTTCTTCTTGTGCCCAAGCAGTTGTTCTTTTCAGTTTCCTGTCATGTTCAGCAGTTTAATAAATCATCTCCCAACATCTAAAACTCATTAATTACAAAATCGGCCCGCAAAATTGTGACATTAGAGAACAAAATAAATATGTATTTTTGATTTATTTTATTTCTGGCTTTAATTCATTTTGGATTTGTTAGCATCATTATTTCCAGCAAATATCAACTTCACTACACAGAGCTGTTCAGTAAAAATATGTTCAGTTAATAAAAGATAAAATATAGTTAATGATTGTACTGTAAATCAAATAATGGAGAAAAACAACACCTGTGAAATCCTTACTGGCAATAAAATTGATCTTTTTAACAATTTTACTCTTTCCTTACAATAAAATTAATGGTCATCTAGAAATATGTTCTTCCATGTTACTATTTTGTACCTTTGAAATGAATGCCCTTCAAATTTACTCACCCACAGTGGTTACAGGAGGTTGAGATGGATAGTGTTGAGTGCTAGTTGTTGCTGGAAATGGTCCACTAGGTTGAGGAAAAGGGTAGGGATAACCACTTGAAGGGAGGAAAAAAGGGAAGACAGAATTTTAAAGAATGTTCTCTGAGGTAGAATTAAACATAAGAGTGAATTTCAATCAGTAAAAAAGTTGGTTTTCAGAAGTCTCAGCAGTATCAATCAACAGGATATTCTTTTGAAGACAGCCAACTCTCATTCATATTTCAGAGGGCATGTTATTCACATACCTAATGAAATGACTGATGCCAACACTTTCTAACAATCTTTAAATTTATTCTACATCAATCAGTAATAGCCTTGCACACAACGGCACTGTTTCCATATAGAGAGGCACATATTCTGATTTCAAATATACTTGGGAGAACCAACGGAATGGGTACATATTTTATGGCTTTCACATGTTCTCACCACAATTCTAAGTATGTGCTCTTTTTTCTCTGCTCCCATTCAACTGGATTAATACATTTTTAAATACACTTTCTTCTAGGTCTCTGATTCTTTTGATGCAGTGCATTCACTGTCCTTTTTTAAACATAAACATCCTACAAGGTATCTTATGACAGTATATAATAACTACAAGCTCCTTAACAGTACAAAAGTATCAACAACAATGTTGTAGAACACTGAAAGCAGAAATATAAAAGATTACAATCAGCCCTCCATGTTACGTAGGGTTAGAAACAAGACTCCCACAAAAAATTTTAAAATGCAAATAAAAATATTACTTTTTTTAACCCGAGAGAACAACTGTTTACAAATTTCTAGGTTCTTCAATATGACTCTATGGTCAACTTCTGACAAACATTAACTACAGAGTCACACTAAAGTACCTAGAGATTCCTAGAGAGAACATTTTAATCAAATCCCTGTATATAATCAAATCTGCAAATGTGGAGGACCGACTGTATATGTATGCAAGCTCCAGCATTCAAGGCTATGTTCATTTCTTACAAGCTTAATCTGCCTATTTTCATATCCTATCACTATTAGCTAAAAGGTAGAAACTAAGGAAGCCTATAAAAAAGGAAATATTTCTTAGCTCTCTTCAGAAATCAGTTCCATCCATACAAAAATGCATGGAGAAAGGAGTAGGCCCTTCTATATCTGGGGGCAAATATCATTCCTGTTGTCCACTGCTACATCTTTCCTGAGATCACCACATATTTGGTAGAAGGTCTGAAGAGAGAGCCTACATGTTGATATAGAGGCACAGCATCTTTCACACTGAATACAGCTAGGTTCCCCTTTAGGGTGTTCTTCCCAAGATATTGAGTTCAGGGGTTGAAGCCAACAGAGACAGTTTGATTGTGGTCAGGGCTACTACATACAGCAATCTTCCTTGTGTGCCTTCAATGGATATTATTTGATTTCTGCAGATTTGTCCCAAGAGAAGTCAGCAAATGAAAGAGAGATAGACATTATTTTAAAGCGCAAGGGCAGTCTGGTAGGCAAAACCGTTATTTCATAAGTCAACTTATATTGACACTTTTGAGTTTTCAGTTATGATTGTTGACACCTTTAGTTATTATTAGATTCAAAACTGAGTTTTTGAATGCAACCCAATTTTAGATGTCATTAGTGAAATAAACCCATTAAGTTCCAGTTTCACTGAGCAGATACAACTGAACTAAAAATGAGTAGACTCCAAACACTATTCTTTTTGGTCTCTATCACAGAAGCACAGTCTAATCACTGCCTATATTTCCTACCGAACAGGTAAATTGACCAAACCATTATTTACCTTGGATTAGGAGGAGGCCCTGGGGGATAAGGAGACATTCCACTTGGCATACCTGGCATGTAGGAAGCTGACAACAGTAGCAATTTTTAGACATTTTAATAATTCAGAAGAACTATGTTGTTCAGTTATATCAACAGTCTGCTTTTATAATGAAGTACTTTTAACAGTAATAACTGTAAGAATGTTTAATTTATTTTTATACCACGTTATGCAAACACAAGAAAGTTTTGATACCCATCTTCAAGATAGGCAACCAGTACTGAAGGAACAAACTCAAGTTCTCAGAACCTTCTCATTTGGTCTCCAGCATAATAGGATTATTTAAATGGGTCTTTTCAGTATGTTACATAGCTTAAAACACTTAATACGAAACAATCTAAATTACTGAACTATTAGGATTATTTACTTTCTGGAACTAATCTACAAAGCCAAGGTTTGAATGCCCATAACAATCTCTGTAGGGCTGGATCAAGAGCAATGCAAATGTATTTTAGCAAAAGACCTAAATGTTGTACTGCTGTTCTTGTATTTGTGTGAAGGAGGGAGGGGAGAAATCCATGAAAATTGGATGGATGCACCTTACATTAATTTTTACTTCTACATTCTATCTTAAGAAGTCAAATCAGATATTTTTCATTTTGACAAATTTTGTCTCTCATTGTAGCAACCCTATTTACATTGTAGCAACCCTATGTACATGAAGAAGGTTTTGGAGAGCCTTCTGATACGTTAGGTGGTTGTACTAAAGGTATTAGCCTGTTGTGGCTAATATTATTTGATTTTTGTCTAAAGTTACAAGGTTAAAGCATCAGTGCTGGTTCCAAGGATGCAATCACTTTCTGTATTAGCAGTGTTTCTCAAACTCTGCTCCACCAGATGTTTTGGACTTCACTTCCCACAATTCCTAACAGATACTAAGCTGGCTGGGATTTTTGGGAGCTGAAGTCCAAAACACCTGAAGGAGCACAGTTTGAGAACCACTGCTTTAGCTTATATTTGACTGACACCTACTGGCCAAACTGCTGCAATGTTCTCATGTTGCTGTTATCTAGAAAGCCCCCTCACAGGGAAATTACAATGAAAAATACAGAGTATTTCAAAAAAGATGAACCCAAATATACAACACAGTGATAAAGCAAGGGACCTAAAATTATGCTTACATTTTCAGCATTCACATATAGCTTACTTCATAGTTTCTCAAACTGTACTCCTCCTGATGTTTTGGACTTTGGATCCCACAATTTTTAACAGCTGGGAAACTGGCTGGGATTTCCAGGTTAGTTATGCTAGTTATTTACATGCATAACAAACATAGGTTTCTTACCGTTTGGTGGTCCTGTTGCCTGATAAGGTGGATAGCCTGCTGAAATAGTAGGCCGAGAAAACACTGGAGGCTCCTCTCCAAACACCACGATCATAACTTGAATCAATCCTATCAAATCTGATTGTGGCTAGGAGTTAAAGCACAGAAAACATACTTTTTTTCTCCCACCAAGGTAGTTCGATTGTTCATTAGAACTGACAACAGATCAATCACTTCTTTAGGGACAGCAGATTACTGTCTCCTACTTAGAAGGTTCATTCAATTCTAGTTCTTTCAATTCAGTCAGCAAGAACTGAATATGTTATCCCCAGTGAACCATATTGCTTATGGATAAAAAGAATTTTGTGAATGAGGTTATCAATTCCAAACCTGGTGATAGCACAGTGAACATGACAAATAACAGTATTTCAGTCAATAAGAGGCTCCAGGTTTTCAAGTCTATGCTTTTATGTGATACTAAATGGACAAATGAGAAACCATCCTTTTTCTCAAAAAGTAAAATAATTCAGAATTAAAGTAAAAATTAAACATTGTACTTACATGTTTCCATTCATGGAGATATGGAAGATAAATCTTGCCATTTGCATCAACATGTTTTCCAGTTTTAATTGTCATTGTACTCGTTGGTTTAACAAAGCAGATAGGGGGATTGAATGGATATGTATCCAACAGCCAGAGACATATTGGAATATTGTAAGTATTACCTGAAGATATTTAGAAAAAAAAAAGCAGTGAATGAATAATGCGTTGTGGGGGAGGGCACACATGATAATGTTGTAAAACAGTGAGGCAAAATACGTTGACTGTAATGGTGAATTCAGACACACAACAATTGCATTGAGTGACTAGACTACAATACATATATGATAGCAAAATGCTTCTAACAGTAAAAAGGCAGATGCACCTGCACATTTACAAGGATGATACACTGCCTCTTCACATATTTAAAAAGCAAAGCCACTTGCCATTGATATAGCCTGTCCTAAACTGAAAGCCTTACCCCACTTTTTTATCTTTTTTGGGATCCCCTCAATTACATATTTTCTATTTGTACCTCATCCAGGGTTTTATCATTTTACCTTGTCCATTTGGCCTGCTCATCCTGTTCGATTTTATATTGTGTTAATTTGCTTTATTTATTTTATTTTGCTAATATATGTATTTTGTTCCGATGTAATTTTATTGTCTGCATTATGTATTTTATTTTGCTATATTGTATCTTTGGGCTTGGCCTCATGTTAGCCGCCCCGAGTCCCCTTTGGGGAGATGGTGGCAGGGTATAAAGATTATTAGGCCCGGAAGCTCCAATTAGTCCAACGCTCGGCAGTCATGATACTAACTGGAGCGGAGCGCAGGGAGCATACAACTCCTCTGCTGCACCAGCTCCACTGGCTGCCGATCTGCTACCGGGCTCAATTCAAAGTGCTGGCGTTGGCCTTTAAAGCCCTAAACGGTTCTGGCCCAACTTACCTATCCGAACGTATCTCGGCCTATCAGCCCACCAGGACCCTAAGATCTTCTGGGGAGGCCCTGCTCTCTATCCCGCCTGCTTCACAGGTGCGGCTGGCGGGGACGAGAGACAGGGCCTTTTCAGTTGGTATTCCGGAAAAGACTAAAAACGTGGATGTTCGAGCAGGCGTTCGGTTAACTCAGTGAAATAAGTGTAATGATTGAAGGACTGGCAATTTGGACGACGAAACTGGATCGCGATTTTAGTCAAGAGATGGATTGTTTATTGATATATGTATTGTGGATTGTGTTTTTATGCTTTTAAACTGTATACTGTTGTTTGTTATAAGTTGTTGTAAACCGCATTGAGTCGCCGGCTAGGCTGAGAAACGGCGGTATACAAGTATAGCAAATAAATAAATAAATAATAAATTAGTATTATTAGTATTATTATAATTATTATTATTCACGTTTCAAATTTAACTATGAGGGTGATACTTGCATTTCTATTTATTCACATATCTATTTTCTGATCCTGGGATGTAAAAAAGTTCTAGAATTATTCTGAAGATCAGACTGTAGACAAGATGGAGGTCAGTTGAGAGTTTCAACCATATACGAGTAGGCAGACAAGATTGAGACATTGGACTTTGCAAAGCCATGCTTTATCTAATAACTTCCATATTAGGCCAACTACTATCATTATCACAGGCGGAGGTTGAAAACAGTTCAGAAAGTTGCAAAGGTCCAGAATGTGCCTGCCGGGGTGTTACTGGACTGCAGAGAGGCACATATAGCTAGTTACAAAACCGGTTACTAGAATATTTCAAAATACCAGATTTGATCTTCAAAGTACTAAGGTACTGTTGAAGCTAAGCAGATATTAACCTGATCTTTCCTGGGTGAGAAGATCAAGAGCAGCTAGACTTTAAGAGCAGAATATAGTAAATAAATCTATATATATAAATCTGTTAGGTTGGTTCAACCGGACAGCAAAACTCCACAACCCCCCAACGAAACTCAACCAAAATTCCCATGCCCATAACACAACCCACAAGGTACAAACATATCTACTCAAAATGAAAACAACACAACACACACAGATAAATTGCCAAAACAACTGAGCATGCGCACTGCCGCAAAGTCCCCAGCGCGCACACACACATGGCTGAACGGCCAACGCACACTCCGCACTTCCCTCCCTCCCTCGCCAGCACGAACACGTCGCCACCCACAAACACACACACACGCATCGCAACTTCCCCCCACCCCTTCCGGCCCTGAAACACTCCTTCCCTCCTCCAACGCAGCTCCGGTAAGACACGCCCCCTCCCGGTAAAACACCCCCCCTCCCCGCAACACACACACACGCCGCTAACACCCCCTCCCTTCCCCGCAACACACACACACACGCCGCTAACACACCACCCCTCCCTTCCCCGCAACACAACCAAACGCCGGTAACAAACCCCCCCTCCACCCACACACACACACGGTAACTCTTTCCTCCCTTCCCCGCAACACACAAACACACACGCCGAGTAACACACCCCCTCCCTTCCCCGCAACACAACCAAACGCCGGTAACAAACCCCCCTGCCTTCCACACAAACACACACGCCGCTAACTCACCACCCCTCCCTTCCCTGCAACACACAAACACACACGCCGCTAACACACCCCCTCCCTTCCCCGCAACACAACCAAACGCCGGTAACAAACCCCCCTCCCTTCCACACAAACACACACGCTGCTAACTCACCACCCCTCCCTTCCCCTTCTTACCTCCTCCTTCTTCTTCCCCAATCTCACCTCCTCCCCCTCCTTCTTCCTCCCCTCCAAGCCCCGCCCTTTCCTGCCCTGTCTCGCCCCCTCAAAATGGCTGCCTTGCACGAAGCCTCTCTCGCCTAACCCGCGTTCCTGCCAGCCGGCGGGATCGCGATCTAGGCGAGGGAGGTTCCGTGCAGGGCCTAGCCTTGCATGAAACCTCCCTCGCCTAGATCGCGATCCCGCCGGCTGGCAGGAACGCGGGTTAGGCGAGAGAGGCTTCGTGTGGGGCCTAGCTTTGCACGAAGCCTCTCTCGCCTAAGCCGCGCCCCTACCGCCCGGCGGGAGCGCGATCTAGGCGAGAGAGGCTTCGTGCAAAGCTAGGCCCCGCATGAAGCCTCTCTTGCCTAAGCCGCGCCCCTGCTGCCCGCTTCCTTCTTGCCTTTTTGGACGACTCCGGCCAGAGGGAGGGACGACGGAAGAGCAGCAAAAGAGGCGAGTGCTGGGAAGGGAAGGGAAGGGAAGGGAAGGGAAGGGAAGGGAAGGGAAGGGAAGGGAAGGGAAGGAGGGAAGGGAAGGGAAGGGAAGGGAAGGGAAGGGAAGGGAAGGGAAGGGAAGGGAAGGGAAGGGAAGGGAAGGGAAAGGCGGGGGGGGGGAGAGGAAGGGGAGGCTCCACAACACAACACAACGTCTCACAACAGAAGGAGTGACCATCACTCAAACAATTATGATTTTGTAGTTCCTGGGATTTATAGTTCATCTACAATCAAAGAGCATTCTGGACTCCACCAATGATGGAATTGAACCAAACTTGGCACACAGAACTCCCATGACTAACAGAAAGCACTGGAAAGGCTTGGAGGGCATTGACCTTGAGTTTGGGAGTTGTAGTTCACCTACATCCAGACAGCACTGTGGACTCAAACAATGATGGATCCGGACCAAACTTAGCATAAGCATTCAATACGCCCAAATATGAACACAGATGAAGTTTGGGGAAAATAGACCTTGACATTTGGGAGTTGTAGTCACTGCAATTCACAGTTCACCAACACTCAAAGAGCATCGTGAACCCCACCAATGACAGAATTAGGGCAAACATGCCACACTGAACCCCTATGGCCAACAGAAAATACTCCAGTTTACACACAAGCATAAAGAAGGGGGAGGAAGAAGGGATGCCAGAGAGAGAAAGAGAGAGAGAAAGAGGGGAAAGGAAGTAGTGTGAGAGAGAGAAAAAGGGAAAGAGAGAGAGAAAGAGGGGAAAGGAAGGAGTGAGAGAGAGAGAAAGAGGGAAAGAGAGAGAGAAAGAGGGGAAAGGAAGGAGTGTGAGAGAGAGAAAGAGGGAAAGAGAGAGAGAAAGAGGGGAAAGGAAGGAGTGAGAGAGAGAAAGAGGGAAAGAGAGAGAGAAAGAGGGGAAAGGAAGGAGTGTGAGAGAGAGAAAGAGGGAAAGAGAGAGAGAAAGAGGGGAAAGGAAGGAGTGAGAGAGAGAAAGAGGGAAAGAGAGAGAGAAAGAGGGGAAAGGAAGGAGTGTGAGAGAGAGAAAGAGGGAAAGAGAGAGAGAAAGAGGGGAAAGGAAGGAGTGTGAGAGAGAGAAAGAGGGAAAGAGAGAGAGAAAGAGGGGAAAGGAAGGAGTGTGAGAGAGAGAAAGAGGGAAAGAGAGAGAGAAAGAGGGGAAAGGAAGGAGTGTGAGAGAGAGAAAGAGGGAAAGAGAGAGAGGGGAAAGGAAGGAGTGTGAGAGAGAAAGAGGGAAAGAGAGAGAGAAAGAGGGGAAAGGAAGGAGTGTGAGAGAGAGAAAGAGGGAAAGAGAGCGAGGGAAGGAAGGAAGAGAGGCCAGGCAGAGACTTCAAAACTCTTACTAAAGGCCACAGCAACGCGTGGCAGGGCACAGCTAGTCAATGATAAAAATACACAAACACACATGAATGAAGCTGTGTAAATTCACGAAAGGTCTTCTTACATGTTTTCTACCATGAGTCTTATAAGTGGGGCCCACAGACAATGAAACAACCTTTCTAGGAAAGTTTATCTGCTCCCATTTCGGTTCATCTTTCTGATTTTGCATTATTGATATCTTTACACTGTTTTACAGTTATTATTTTGTGACTTGCTTAAATTCTAACTGTATACTCCCCCTTAACCTTCTTAAATCCTTAGTGATTATGCCCTGATAATTTTAGTTGGTTATTTCTGTATTTTAATTCCAGTTTGAAAAATCATATGGGGCAGTCAGAATAATCACAGTATATTAAAATGTTGGTATATCACAATTTGTACTGCTTAAGGGTTTATTTTTTAAATAATTCTTGGGATCAACTTCCTTACCACAGCTTTCAAGTGAGGTACCATGGCCTCCCCTTTCAGCAGTAATTTCCTATGTTTAATGGAATGCTACACTGAAAGATCTTTCAGCTTCTAGGAGCAACTGCCTGGAAGATACTAAAACACTTCAGACAGGGCACATCACACACACATTTTTTTAACTTTAGCCACTGGATATGCCTTCTTTGCTTCCATAGTGCACAGACTGTCAGGACTTGGTTCAGCATTACTTTTCAATCTCTTATCTAGACAGTTTCAACTAATTCAGTGCACTGTAAGAAAATAGGTTTTAATATCAGCTTTCCATTTGCAGAGCTTTAAATCACCACAACAGGAGCAGACACTTGGCATGCTAGTAGAACTCCCTAATCTATTGAAAAAGAAACATTGTATTGTGTTAACTGTGTATTTAAATATAAGTCAATACTGTTGATGAATCAAACACTTGCAGAAATTACTTTAAATGCCTCTGGGTTGACACTAAATTCCCTTTTCACAGTGAAACCAGAGCAAATAAAGAGAAAGAGAACCTTTTGAAAGATGTCCTCTATGCCAAATCAACTCTACTCCAGAGTGCTTCCATAAAACCTCTCAAAAAGAGACGGGGAATTACTCATACAATGCATAAAAACATTTTAAGGTCACAAGAATATTGGGTGTGCTTCCGTTTTCTTGTATTACATTCGCTGACTTAAGGGATAAAATTGCAGCAAAGCACAGGTGTCTTTGAATATTATAGAACAATCACACAAAGTTACAAAACTAAAAACATGGTATTTGAAAGTGAGTGGACTGTCAACAGTAATAAATACATATGTTTTCAAGTCAGGTATGCACAAACAATTCAAGACACACACATACCTCTGTAACTTACAGGAATAGTTCCAGTGAGGCTCATCAACTCTCTTGATGAACCATCATTAAAAACTGAAAAGAAGAATTAGACATTCTGTTTATTTTACTGACGAAAACAATTCATGCACACACACAAATGCATCAAATGTTTCTTTGTCATGTACATTTCCACATATAAGTAAGCACCTGCTAAAAATGGCAACATTACACAATGCAACATGCCTAGCATATTATTTTGTGCTTTATGATTACATATCGCTAAATATTCTATGACCAACCCAGTTGTTAAACATACACAACTACTAAAGCTGCTATGACAACCTCCAAAACAAAACTGCTACTCAAATCTCTAGGTCAGGATCAGTAAGATGCAACAGTCCAGGAACTGTTTTTACTTTAAATCCCAGTATTCCTTGCCATGAGGTATAGTTGCCAGGTTTAATGGGAGTTGCTATCTGATAATATCTGGTGAACTGCATTTTGCCCATCCCAGATTTAAATGAAGATTCAGTTCCCTGTTTTATATTACATGGACAATTTGAATAATACACTTCAAATAATTAATCTCATAACTTTTCATTATTCTCCACAAAAAATCATTTGTGCAAAACAGAATGAAATAGTAAGAAATTAACACTGAATGGCCGAATGCTAGACAATTTATTTTACAGAACAACCATGTTAGAAAGAATACAATATACTCATCCATTATAAACATAAAACGGTGCAGATGATATAAGACAGGAACTTACCATAGCCATCCATTACAGGTTTGAGATCTTTATACTGGGCAATAACACTGATAGTTTCTTGAACAGACAGGTCTCTGTATTTGTACTATACAAGGGAAAAGAATTTTGTAAACTTAAAACTCCATTAAAGGCAAATTCTATTAATAAAATATGAACTTACTTCTATGTAAGTCCTATGACTATGTTCCTGCCTTTTCACAATCTCACTTTACAGGTGATAGGTGAGATAGCTGCAGCAAGTCCAACGCGCGGCAGCCAGATTACTAACGGGGGCTGGGTACAGGGAGCACACCACTCCGCTGTTACGCCAGCTCCACTGGCTGCCAATTAGCTTCCGAGCACAATTCAAAGTGCTGGTGTTGACCTATAAAGCCCTAAACGACTCCGGCCCTGTTTACCTCTCCGAACGTATTCTCCCCTACGAACCATCAAGATTACTAAGATCATCTGGAGAGGCCCTGCTCTCGGTCCCACCAGCCTCGCAAGCGCGGCTGGTGGGGACGAGGGACAGGGCCTTCTCGGTGGTGGCCCCGCGACTCTGGAACTCTCTCCCTCTGGAGGCCAGAACCGCCCCATCCATCCTAACATTTAGGAAACGGGTGAAGACGTGGCTGTGGAGTCAGGCCTTCGAGGAATGAGATAACACCATAGGACTCTGGATGGAAGTGGATATAGATCCATCTTAATAGGACGACTGACCACTGTAGTTTTATATTTAGTGTATTTTAAAGTTGATGTGTAATTTGTGATATATGATATTTTAATGAATGTATATGTTTTTATGGCTGTAAACCAGGCTGAGTCCCTCAACGAGGTTGAGAAGCTCGGCATACAAAACTGTGAAATAAATAAATAAATAAATAAATTTTATAGAATGTACAGCTTTTGTCCTTTTATTTACCCAAGAGAGGGCAAGAACCACTTTTGCATGAAGAGCTGCCTTTCTGAATGAAAACTAAATATTATAGAGAAAATGTTATGTGTACCATAATACGGACTCAATCACAATGCTATGTTTACTATGCTTATGGCAAATGAGATAATGCCCAATACAATATTTTATGCCTTATATATTGACACAAAAAATGCAAGTCCCCAAACAAAACTGTATCCTCACCGTTCATACCCATCATTTGAGGGTAAGCCTTCCCAATGCAACATAGAACAATTCTAAAACACAATAAAACAATGACCAATTATAAAGGCAAGTTTTATTATTGCCTAATCCATACAAGTGATGGCAACTGAAGAGTAACAAAAAGGGGGTGCATGTCACCCCAAAATCTGTTACTGTTTTTTAAATTCTTATATGCTGTCAAGTCAGCTTTCTCTTATGGTGACCCTATGAATGAGAAACTCCATGAGACCAGGTTATTGGTAAATCAGCTTTGGCAAGCTCAAGACTATGACTTGGTCAATCCATTAGTAAAGCAGTCTTCTTTTTCTTTCACTCATGCCTTCCACTGTATTGCACATTAATGTACTTGATAACTGACCCCAGCAAGCCTTAATATCTAAAATATGATAACCTCAGTTCTATCGTTCTGGCTTCTAATGGGATATGGTATCCCAAGCTTGATTTGTTCTTGGATGCATTCATTTGTCTTTTTGACAGTTCATGGTATCTATCAAACTCTCTTGAGCATCACAATTTAAATTTGTTTGTTTTCTTCGTTTCAACATTCTTCATTGTCTACCTGGAGCCCCCGGTGGTGCAATGGGTTAAACCCTTGAGTTGGCAGAACTGAAGAGAGACTGGTGGGAGGTTCGAATCCGAGGAGAGGGAGAATGAGCACCGTCTGACAGCTCCAGCTCCCCATGCGGGGACATGAGAGAAGCCTCCCATAAGGTAAAACATCAAAACATCTGGGCATCCCCTGGGCAGCGTCCTTGCAGACAGCCAATTCTCTCACACCACAAATGACTTGCAGTTTCTCAAGTCGCTCCTGACACACACAAAAATGTCTACCTTTCACTTGCTGTTATGTGCCTTAAAGTTGTTTCTGCCATATCATTACTCCAATACAAACTTAATAGGATTTCCTTGTTCAGACAAGGTTTGTCTTTGCCTTCCTCTAAGGCTCAGTGAGCGTGATCCATTCAGATTCCATGGTTAAGATGGAATCTGAATCTTGATCTCCAAAATCAGTCTATCAAATGGGAAGCATTATGGCAGAGCTTTTCGAACTGTGTGTTGAGGCACGTTAGTGTGTTGTGTGAATTCCTGTTCAAAAAGGAAGGGTGAAAACAGAAGAACAAGCTCAGTCAACACCAGGCCTGCCTTCCCCTTCTTTTTTTCCTGTTCCTTTCCCTCCTTGGCTTCTTTCTCCTCCTAAGTCCCTCCTCCTGCCTCTCCCTGCTAATTGATGCCCCGGGACCTTCCCTCTTCTTAGTGCCAACCTCAAATCCCCCAAGCCTTTCAACTCCAGTTTTTATCTTTCTTCTTCTCTTCCCCTCACTATCTTTTCCCTCTCCTCAGAAATGCCTCAGCACAAGCTTCAGGCCCCTTTCTCAGAAGCCCTCCTAGGACAGCTCTGCTATAGTAAAATGTTTTCTAGTTGTTTTTAAGGACATTTTGGAGCTTTTGGAGTATTTTTTTTTCAAGTTCTGTATTGATCTCATATTAAGTGAGCATTGAAATGTCTTAAGATGGTTATTTTCAAATAGAAAAGTAGTAAAAGTAGTAAATCATGTAAGAAGTTTTTAAAATCAGTTAGTACTGTTAAAAGACGCCACTCTATTTTAACTTCTTAATTTGAATTTTATTGGTATAAATGATTTGAATGCATTTAATCTTATGTCTGTTTTTTAATTTATGTGTTTTAGTGTCTTATATTTTAATCTGTTTTGTACCCCACTTCAAGCCTTGAGGGGAGGTGGGTAACAATAGCAATAATAATAATAATAATAATAATAATAATAATAATAATAATAATGTATTAGTGTTCACAGTGGACTCAGAAGAAAGTGGTTCAGCTATATTTCATAAAAAGAAAAATAAACCTGCCTTGTTTAGGAAGTCTTGCAAATGCTGATTTTGCTTGATAGTTATCTTTTCCATTTCAGAAATACTTCCTTTCAAATTTTGATTCTAAAAAACTCCCAACACCCAGAAGCGCTTGCCAGCTTGTCCAACAGCCAGAAATTCTGGGAGCTCAAGTCCAAAACACCTTGAGGGCCACACTTTTGACACCACTGCTCTAAGGCCATATGGATCAATTCTTGACAATGGCTACTGACATTCAAGACACGATGAACACTGCCTAAAAAGTCTGTTTATTGTGCTTGTAAAGGAAAGAATTTCTTCATAATTGAATTGAGTCCAGACTGTAACCTCTGGATAGGAAAGTAAGAAGTCTTTTCCACAATGGTGTGATAGAAAGACAATGGTGCCTGATAAGGTCATCCATAAATGTCTATTCTCATTTTTCTGCATTTGTTCAAGATTACCAGCTGGGGCTGACAAGATCTTCATGGAAGTCAGACAAGTCTAGAACAGGATACAGGGTAATGGATCTTCCTGAAGAAGAATCAGAAACATCCCCTGAGTGATGTGCAAAGAGGAAGGTAAACTTCAGAAATATATGGTGGCTATCTGAATCAGAGCCATCAATAAGATTACCTCGGTAAGGTAATTCTGGGAACACATTAATGTTTCCCCAAAATTATCTAACAAGCCCAAATTTAAGTCTGTAGGGCTGGGGACTTTCTAAGACTTTCAGTGGCACAAATTAATTATCCTCAATTAATTAGTAGAACAATCCCAATTGGTTTCCCTGCTGTTTGCCTCCAGGCTCCCTTCTGATAGGACCTTGAAGGATCTGTAGTGATGAAGAGAAGATGAAGCTATTATTTTAATCTGGGATTATTTTGCATTGCCTACCGTTTTGGTTGTGCACCACCATGAAATCCCATGATAAAGAACAGAATACAAATTGATCCTGGATCAAAAAGATTATGATTTCTTCTTTGATGCAAAAGACAGAACTTGCAATTACAGACTATATCGAACTGAAGGAGAACAGCAGCAGCTAAAGACAGAGGATGTTGGGACATATAGGGTTCCACGTTGAAACCAAAGACTGATGAGCATTCTCCTCCTGCCTTCTCAAAATACATTTGACAAACCCTATCTCTGCTGACAAAAGGGAGGATAACTAAAAGAGATACTAAACCAAATTAAAGACATAAGGGCAAAACCCACATTTTACTCTCTAATTATACAAGCTGTTTTCCATTCACCTATAATGCAATCGAGATGGTTAAAAGCTGCTTCTGGGTGTGGGCATATGTCCTCCCTGAACTCAGAGCTGACCAGAACAGCTAACAGAATGTTGTCCAGAATGCTTCACATATGCTGAGAACTACCTTGGTCTTTTGCAATGTTACAACCATGAAAATAAATAAATAATTATGAATGTCACCAAAATGCCAGGAAATGCTAGTATGAATTTTTTTGAGGACACTGTTAAATATATTCAAATATTCTTTCCTCCCTTTACTATTACTGCAATGAAAAACAAAACCCCAAAAAAGAAAAATACACCATATATTTATGAATAATCATAAAATGAATAGAAGTAGTCATCACTCTCAATCGGAATTATGTACCAGAGAACAAATCCTTAGTCAGTAACAGAACAATGCTGCATGTCTGCATTCTTTCTGCTCCTGATCATCCAACCATTAGCTAATCAATTACGTGTTTTGCAGTGTTCTTGCTAATCAAGCCTATGTTGTATTTGAAAATAGCTCAATGAGAATACAATCTTTAAATCCATTTTTAAAAAATGGATCTCAAATTGTATGTATAGGTGTTTTCAAGTTGCTTATTGACTTATACTGACCTCATACATTTGATAGGGTTTTCTTGGGCAAGGACTATGCAGCGGTTATTTGCCATTGCCTTTCTGTGAAATTCACTTTGCAGCACCTTATAATACACTATTATAATACTGTATTATAATACAAATTATAATACACTATTTAGTCTACTCTGAAAAAAGTACTCTGCATTTGATAACTAATTTTAGACAACAAGGCAGGACAAACACATATTCACTTTCATCTAACACTATTAAAATGTTAAGACAAAAAACCGAATTCTTACGAAAAGCCACATTTGTTCCTTTGTGCGACAAAAACTAGCCCATTTCTAAACCACTGCTCACCTAAATAATGTGATTTTAATGTTCATACGTTTTTAATTCCACGTTTTAATGTTTAAATGTCATTGCATTTTTATGATTTAATTGATAGTTTTATGTTGTTATGGTTTAATGTTAGGTTTTATGTATGTGAGGCATTGAATTTTTCAATTTATATGTTGCAAATGGCTTTGACCCCCACCCCCCATCCCCCCGGGTGGTGGTGGTGAGAAAACCGGTATACAAATGAAATAAATAAATAAATGCAAGAGAAAATGGACACCATGTTATTAATGTTTTCTTTTTTTCTTACTTTCCCAATTTCCTAGGACTAAAGCTTTGTTCTACTGAAACATATGTAATTTAAGGATATTTCATTTAATGTAGACTGCAAGGGGAAAAGGCAGAGAGAGAAAAAACTCACTGTGAAGAACCAAATTCAGATCCATAACTTATAACAAACAGCCCAAATCCAGCCCCATTGATCCAAATGCACAAGGAAGTGTCAAAATCCAGCCCTTCTACTCCTTATGAAAAGCTCGAACGAATCCAGCCCCTGTGGTCATAATAAAGAGCCCAAATTCAGCCCCATCATCACAATAATTACGATTATTATATATCAGGCATGGGCAAACTTCGGCCCTCCAGGTGTTGTGGACTTCAACTCCCACAATTCCTAACAGCCTGTTAGGAATTGTGAGAGTTGAAGTCCAATACATTTGAAGGGCCGCAGTCTGTCCATGTCTATCCCAGAGATAGATATTCCGCTTTTTTTCCCTATTGCTTGAGACACGAAGAGCCTCACAACATCAAGCACACTACTCCTAAACAGACCAAATTCTGGCCCACGATATATAACGGAGAGTCCGAATTCAGTCCCACTGCGCCTTCTGAAGGGCCTCAATTCAGCCCGCTGCTCCTAAAGAAAAGTCCTGCCCCCCAGTTCACTTCCTGGCGGGAGGGGAGAGGAGGCCCAAGAGGAAGGAAGGCCGGGCAGGCCTTCCGGGGCCCAAAGTTCTCCTCACGAGGCGGAGAGGCACCGTTCCCGCACCTCAAAGGCCGGCTTCATCCCTGGCTCCATGCGAGGCGACAAGGCCAGGAATATTTCAAGGAAGGAAGGCCTGCCTTCACCCTGCGTCCTCTCCCGAAGCTCTTGTGCCACAGGCCTCTTGTGCCACTTACCTTGCCCAGCATTTTCTTCAGCTGACTCTCCGACACGGCCATGGCGGCGGAGGTGGGAGCGGTCCCTGCCCGCGGCCGGAGGCGACGAAGGTGGTCGTCGTCTTTCCTGTCTCCCTTTCAGCCTCCCTTCCGCCTCCCGCCGCGCCCCGCTTGCAGTCGTCGGCCAGCAAGGAAGCAGCTAACTGCCTCAACCCACTTCCGAGAGTTTGGCCTCCGTCGGGGCTACGGCGTGACGTCACTTCCGCCCTATGCTGCGTCGCGCGGATGGGAGCGTAGACTTTGCACGCTTGTCAAGATGAGCGGGAGGAGGGGCCTCCTGGTTGCTGTGTACCTTGTGGCGTCACCGTCAGGGAGCCCTCGGTGGCGCAGTGGGTTAAACCCCTGTGCAGGCAGGACTGAAGGCCAAGAGGTCGCAGGTTCGAATCCGGGGAGAGGCGGATGAGCTCCCTCTCAGTTCCAGCTCCTCATGCTGTGACATGAGAGAAGCCTCCCACAAGGATGATAAAAACATCAAATCATCCGGGCGTCCCCTGGGCAACGTCTTTGCAGACGGCCAATTCTCTCACACCAGAAGCGACTTGCAGTTTCTCAAGTCACCCCTGACACACACACACACACAGGGTTTTCCTGGCCATTGCTGTTCAGAGTGGGTTTGCCCTTCCTTTGAGCCTGACAGAGAGTGTCACTTTTGCCCAAAGTCCCTTCAGTGGGTTTCTGTGGCAAAGGCTGGATTCAAACCGTGGCCTGAAATGCCCCACACCAGCCTAGCAAGGGGAGGTTTCGCTTGTGAGGTAGTTGGAGGAATGACATTGGCTTGCTGTCAGTTTTCCGGGCTGTATGGTCATGTTCCAGAGGCATTCTCTGGAACATGGTATATGTTTTGATTTTATTGCTTTATTATGTTGTCCGGGCTTGACCCCATGTAAGCCGCTCCGAGTCTCCATTGGGGAGATGGTGGCGGGGTAGAAACAAAGACTATTATTATTATTATTATTATTATTATTATTATTATTCTCTCCTGATGTTTCATCCACATCTATGGCAGGGTTCCTCAGATATTGCCTAGTTTCCAACACATCTCACAACCTCTGAGGATGTCTGCCATAGATGTGGGCGAAACGCCAGGACAGAATGCTTCTGGAACAAGGCTTACAGCAGGGGTCCTCAAACTTTTTAAACAGAGGGCCAGGCCACTATCCCTCAAACTGTTGGAGGGCTGGATTATAATTTGAAAAAAGAAATTGAATAGATTCCTATGCACACTGCACATATCTTATTTGTAGTGCAAAAAACACTTAAAAACAATAAAATAATTAAAACGAAGAACAATTTTAACAAATATAAACTTATTATTTCAGTGGGGCTGTTTTTGGCTGATGAGATAGGATTGTTGTTGTTGTGTGCTTTCAAGTTATTTCAGACTTCAGTTGACCCTGACCGAGGGCCGGGTAAATGACCTTGGAGGGCCATAGTTTGAGGACCCCCGGCTTACAGCCCAGAAAACTCACAACAACCCAGTGATTCCAGCCATGAAGGCCTTCAACAACACAGGAATGACATTGCTTATTACACGAAAAAGATGTTTTATTCAACCAGCTGCTTCTTGGGAAGGAGTGGTACGACTAACAGACTATATGTATTTGGGTATATGTGCCTTCAAATCAAGCTATGGCAATCCTGTGACTTTCACTGGGTTTTCTTAGGCATGGAATCCTCAGAGGTGGTTTTGCCAGTTCCTGCCTCAAAAATATATCATACCGTGCCTGGCTGATCTGGCTTTCAGAATCTGATGGGATCTGGTTCCTGGTAGTCAGGTGGATGAACAGACCAATATCCCTTATTGTTTGCAAAGCCACGAAATAGGTTTGTTGTTATTCGTCATCAAGCTGACTTTGATTTCTACATTGCCATATAACATGCCAAGAATACAATTTGATAGGGTGTCCATAGATTGAAAACAACTTGAAGGCACACAGCATCAGAATCTTCACTCTGACGTGCTGATACAGAATGGTCATTTTAAATCAATAACAAAAACCAGTAGACCTTTATATTGCCATAAAAAGGATATGAGGTTATATTATGTACATCTTAATAATAACTGATATTATAATTGGATATGCATAAAGTAATGGTGTTCTATGCAGTCATGCTGGCCACATTACTTTGGAGGTGTCTACGGACAACGCCGGCTCTTCAACGTAGAAATGAAGATGAGCACCACCCCCGATTCGGACATGACTAGACTTAATGACTTAATACCCTTACTATGCATAAAATAAGTTTATCACCACCTAGAAAGGTTGCATTTGATGCATCTCCCTCTTCTGGTAAATGATGGGATGTCTTCAGTGCAGAACAACCCTTTGGATGCCCTTCCATGGACTGCAGCATTGTGTCTGTGCTGCAATAAGCCAAAATACCGAGTTCCATAAATAAAATACATTTTCTGATAATTAACCAATGAAACTGAAGGCCAAAAACAATAACACAGATCAGATATTGTTACCCAGTTCTTTAGACTTTTATTGCGATTACCCCCCTTTTCTATTTCTCCCCATAGGGTATTTGCTCACATGTACAATGCAAAATGGAAAGGCAACATTTCATCTGGTCATAACAAAAATACAAAATGCATATATCATATATTGATAATCAGCCTGGCAAATATTTACCAGTGTTAAGGCTTACTGCGAGATTTCACATCATGATTCAAAAATGCTAAAATCTATCAGTGCAAAATGCTGAGCAGTGCATTCAGGTCCTTTATATACCACTAAGAGATGTTTAAAAAGGATTACCCAGGTATATATTTCTAAAAATATTCCAGTTTTATCATGGCCTGGGTTCCTGAATCACTATTTAAATTAAAATATAGCATTTACGTCCTTGCTTCTATTGTACTCAGTTGCCTCTGGATAATCCCCTATATTTCTGTGGAGTGTGGCTCTTTAGGGAGTAGTGAGCAGAAGGCATAAAGCAGCAGTGCATACGAAGAGGAGTGCATATGGTTCCCCAACCATCACCACACAGACCCAATATATCCATTTAATGTAACCCTTATAGCGCTGCAGTTATCTGTCATCTCACTCTAAATCTGAATGAATCCCAGAGTCCTCTAAGAAAAAAATTCTGACATGTTAGGCCTGAACAAAATGTTTGTTGAATGCCACCATCTACCCAAGCTTTAGGTGATTTTATGCAGTTTTATTTCTTTATTTTTCTAAAATTCTCTAATATAATTTTATGAAGAAATAAAGTAACCTGAATCATGAGTTTGGATTTTGGACAATTTCGTGTTATCAGCTCTTTCCATATCTAGACTTTAGAAAAGTATAAAATTTATATTTGCCAGTTCTCTCCAATACATACAAGGTGGTAATAGAGTATCTGTACCAGATGTGTCACAACTGGTTGAAATAAGATCTATGGTCACAGTCCATTACTCTTGGATGGACACTTTGCGAAGGGAGTGTAGTTCTGAATACTATACCTGACACAATGAGAAGAGGATGAAAACACTGTACACTATTGCTACTAGAAAAGGTCTGTATAGGCAAGGCCCAAGAAGAAAAAACGACAAAGATGACACTATTTGATGCAGAATGTAAAACAGACACATTATAAAATAGGCATTCTGTTGACACAGTACATTGTGATAAAACATTTGTAAACTGGTATATTCTGCTTAATTATTTTGACTGTCAAGAAAACATTGTTAGAGGAGGCTTTGTACCTATTACTAAAGATGCTGGAGTGTAGTAAAGCTTCAATGTTGTGAGGTAATGTTTCGGCAGCCATGGAGGCACTGATGGTGTCTGCTTCTTCTTCTTTAAATGTGAAATATTTTTAGGAACAAAATGATCCTCCACACTATTCAAAGTTTCAACTGCTGTTGAAGATCATGAATTGATGCAGCACTCGACTGCAGTTTCTCTGCTACAGCATCCTCATCTGATAGTTTGATCATTTCAATCACTCCATTGATTCCAAGGGCACAAGGCACACTTAAAAATACTTCACAGTTGATATTGTAACAGCCCTGGGGGAGGGGGGGGGGATAAAAACATTCAAGTACGGAAAACATATTGTATGTACATTATTTGAGCTTCATTCATAAGTGGGTAAATATTGTTAAGGCTGTGGTATTAGAAGTAAATTTGAAAACAGATTGGCACTTGTTTTTGAGAACACAATCGCAGTGTAAATGATATGATTATACTCTGCGAGGCCAAAGACCGCACAAGTATAATGTAACTGGCATCCAATCAACATGTATCAGAAGGTGTGGGTGAACTCATACCAAACAAAACATTTTATTTTTAAACAGCTGTCCCTGTGATATGGAATTACTTGTGCTACAAAAACAGTCTCTATGATACAATTTTTGGAGATCACATTTTAAAAAGTCAAACATATATTTTTTAAAAAGGCTGAATGCAATGGATTCAGCTTAAAAAAAACAAAAAAGCTCTTTAAAGTTGAAAATTGGGATATTTTCCAACTTTTTTCACCTAAAAAAGGGAACACAATAGATTTGTGACTTATGTTTGGCATGTAAAATTGAGCAAAATGTAGTAAGCTCTGGTTAATACAAGAAACATATGGCTGTAAAGCTATGTTATATGTTTGCTGTTCGTTTCTAGACCATAATCATTTGTATCAGAATGTATTTATTTAGAATATTTATACTTCACCCTTGAGTCAAAGAAACTCATGTTGGGGAACCTTTCTAGCTATGCTGTGAAACCAGTCTAAATCTGAGGTTATGTCTGTTGGGGATCCTCTCAGTTTTGTGCTGTCAATTCTGCTATTGTTCAAAACATTAGATATTTAAGGAATATCGATTCCTCGGGACACTACTTAAATGATCAAATTAAATCTATCTGCAATTCTCACAAAAACCTCTCTTCATTTCTATATATGAGCATTGCTTAATTTAGGTATTTATGTATTTAATTAGGTGCAATATAATTCTAATAATCAATATAAGAGTTTTGTTTTAGTATCCCTGATGCAGAGTAATTCAGGTATCACACTGCACTTCTTTATAGCAGGGTTTCTCAACTGACGTTTAGCAAGAAATTGTGGCAACTTAAAGCACATAGAATCAAAAGGCCTACAGTACTACTCAGGCAGCCCCTCCTGAGTAGCCTTCAGACTATGGCAAGTATATAGCAGAATTTTAATATTTCTTCCCTCATCTTCTTGAATGTCTCAGAAATTATTAATCACAATTTAAGGTAAGCTCCCACTGGCAACAATGGAAGCTTTCTTATTCCACACAAAACAAGAAGTATTTACTTCATATCATTAATTGCCTAATGATTCCTTCTGTCTTAAAGAATATTTTCATTTTGAGACATATTCCTATTTAATTATTTTTATAGTTTTCGAATGAATACATATAAATGCTTCCTTTGCTTAAAAAACCAAACAAAATAGAGCTAGACCCATGCTTACCTTCATCATAGTTGATATGGAATGTACTTTTCTTTTATTGTTTAGTATACTGTCAGACAGATCAGCTATTGACAGACCAACAGACCACGCTCTTTGGCCTTTGCCTTTCAAAATTTCCATTGCTCTACAGAAAAGCAAACAAAGAAATACCTAAACAAACCAAATATTTAAAATGCCCCTTCTCAGCCAGTAAAATATTTCCTTTTAAAGAAAACAGGTACTTAAAAAGAGTAGTACAAATGGTCTGTATTTGAAAGGGTAAAATGGTAATGGACTGGATGAGGATAAACAAACTGAAACTTAATCCAGACAAGACAGAGGTACTCTTTGTCAATCAAAAGGCAGATGAGGAAATCAGATGAAGCCTGTGCTTGATGAAGTTACATTCCCTCTGAAATTTCAGGCTCACAACTTGGGCATTGTTTTGGACTCCATCCTGATCCTGGATGTATTTGGACAGTTAAGCCCAGTGTGCTGGTGGAGCCTATTCCAATTATGCTAACGCAACATGCCTTGATTACACCCCATTTGGACTATTGCAACAAATTCTATGTGGGATTGCCTTTGGAAACTGGAAACTTCAGCAAGTCCAAAATTCTGCAGCAGAAATTTTAACTAACAGCTCAGTTACAAGGAGCATGAGACTCACTCATTAAAACAGCTTCAGTTTGCTTCTGATACAATTCAATGTTGGACATGACTTATCAAACCCTATACGGCTTATATTTGGACTATTTGAAAAACTGTATCTCTCAATACAAATTGCCAAATCTACATGGCGAGGCTTTCTCTTGATCCTGTTACCACGACTGACTTGTTTGAAGAGAACCCAAGAAAAGCAGGGCTTCCTTCCTTTTGCCTGTTCTTTGTTTAAATGGGTTTTAAATGTGTAATTTATAAGCTTTAAATGCCTTTAAATAATATTATACTGTTCTAATGAGATAATTTTGTTTTTGCAAAAGATAGTAATTATAATAATAACATTATTTTTTGGTGACCCACCTTGGGTCCCACTCTGGAAGGAAGGTAGCATATGAGTGAAATAAATAATAACAGTGACTATATTACTACTTCAGATGAGATAAAACTGCAAAGGTACCACTCCGTTATTACTCCCGACAGCAAGCACTACTGAATTTAGCTTTACCTGTTAGTCAATAGCTTCTCAGCATTATCATTTATTACATCTTCATCCTGATGATCTGCTGCTACATTAGTCGCATTCCATGCTGTCACTGAATAAGATAATAATGATAATTCTTGTTGCTTTCAGATATTTGCATTTTTACCTAAACAAGGATTTCTCTTTAGAGTATTGCTTTTCTTCTTTTTAAATTTAACAGGTTTAAAATGTAAGGGTTACAGGACTCTATGAATATGGATTCCTGCTTTTCCATTTCTTCGAACTTGATTAAGAGGCCTGTATTTTATAATACATTTCACAATCGCCATCTTCCCTTTTCTTCACTGCAATGCAACATTTTAACTCTTTTGTAAATACTGTACATTATAGAGCTAGAAAAAAATGAATTTTTTACTTTGTTGACATTACAATAATGCAACATGCATGTATCCATGTGCTGTATAAATAATGACATTCTCACACAACAATGTAAAGGGGCAGTAGGCAATGTAAAGCCTAACTATAAAATATGTAATTGGGAAACCTGGTCACAGCAGTTTATTTATTTATTTATTTACTGTATTTGTATACCGCCTTTCTCAGCCTATCGGTGACTCAAGGCGGTTTCCAACAAAACAGTATACGTAATATCATAATACAGATTAAAACATTAAAACAGTATAAAACACAACAAAGGCAATAAAAAACATCATTAGTGTCTCCTTATTATCAAGCATTGTCCAGTTCCATCATCAAGTCATTAGATTTCCTATATCAGTTACTCTGCATTTGTAAACGCTTGCTGAAATAACCATGTTTTAACTTTCCTCCGAAATGTTAAGAGGGAGGGAGCCGATCTAATCTCCCTAGGGAGGGGCCACCCCTGAAAAGGCCCTGTCTCTCGTCCTCACCAGACGTACTTGTGACGACGGCGGGACTGAGAGCAGGGCTTCCCTGGACGATCTCAAGGGGATGACGATGGTTCATAAGGGGAAATGTGTTCAGACAGGTAAGTTGGACCAGAACCATTTAGGGCTTTATAGGCCAAAGCCAGCACTTTGAATTGGACCCGGTAGCAAACCGGCAGCCAGTGGACCTGGCACAACATGGGTTTGTATGCTCCCTGGCTGCTGTTCGTTGGACTAGTTGAAGCTTCCAGACCGTCATCAAAGGCAGCTCCATGTAGAGCGTGTTGCAGTAGTCTATACGGGATGAAACTAGAGCATGGACTACTGTGGCCAAGTCAGACTTCCCAAGTACGGGCGCAGCTGGCGCACAAGTTTATGTCCCGCGATTGTGGCGCAGCTGGCTGAGTGTCAGCTGCATTAAGATCACTCTGACCAAAAGGTTATGAGTTCGAAGCCAGCCCGGGTTGGAGTGGGTTTCCAACCAATTGTGTAGCCTGTTGTCGACCTTTGCAACCCGAAAGACAGTTGCATCTGTCAAGTAGGAAAATAAGGGACCACCTTGTGTGGGAGGCTAAATTTAACTAATTTATGAGGCCATAAAGAAAGAAGACTCCGGGGAATGTGGAATGCGGAAGAACTTCATCGGTGTCGTTGATGGACGATGAAAAGCAGCAGCTCCCCTGGCGGCCAGAAAAAAAGTTAAATAGCCTTTGTCTGTTAAATGTTGTTTGTCAAACTGGCATTGAATGTTTGCCATATATGTGTTTACTGTAATCCGCCCTGAGTCCCCTGCGGGGTGAGAAGGGCGGAATATAAGAACTGTAAATAAATAAATAAATAAATAAATGCTTCCCTGTTCGCCGCCGAAACCTGAGGTTCCAGGCTCAGCGATGAGTCCGAGATCACACCCAAGCTGCGAACCTGTGTCTTCAGGGGGAGTGTAACCCCATCCAACACAGGCTGTAACCCTATGCCATGTTCGGCCTTGCGACTGACCAGGAGTACCTCTGTCTTGTCTGGATTCAGTTTCAATATGTTCGCCCTCATCCAAATCGTCACAGCAGCCAAGCAACGGTTCTGGACATGAACGGCTTCCTTAGTAGCAGGTGGGAAGGAGTGACAGAGTTGGATGTCATCTGCGTACAGATGACACCGCACCCTGAAACTCCGGATGATCTCCCCCAGCGGCTTCATGTATATGTTAAATAACATGGGGGACAGTATAGAACCCTGAGGAACCCCACAAGACAACGGTTGTGGGGTTGAACAGGTGTCTCCCAGTAACACCATCTCCAGAAAGGACCAGAGCCACTGCAGGACAGTGCCTCCCAGGCCCATTCCAGCGAGGTGTCCCAGAAGGATACTGTGGTAAACGGTATCAAAGGCCGCTGAGAGGTCCAGCAGAACCAACAGGGACACACTCCCCCTGTCTAGTTCCTGGCTTAGATTATCAACTAAGGAGACCAAGGCTGTCTCAGTTCCATGTCAGACTGTGCCGGATCCAGATAATCAGTGTCTTCCAAGAATACCTGGAGTTGTGAGGCCACCACACGTTCCAGGACTTTGCTCAAGAAGGGGAGATTGGAAATAGGCCGATAGTTGACGAATTGAGTGGGGTCCAGTGATGGTTTCTTCAACAGCAGTTTTATAATAGGGTTGTTTTAAGCTCGCTGGAATGTTGCCTTCCTGAAGGGAGGCATTAACCACCACCTTCACTCACTCGGCCAATCCCCCTCTGGCTTCCTGTAGAAGCCAGGATGTGCAGGGGTCTAGGATGCATGTGGTCGGCCTCATTCCTCCAATTATCTTGTCCACATCCTCACGTTTCACCAATTGAAATGAATCCATTAAAATCGGACAAGCAGGTGCTCGTGTTACATCCTCAGAGACTGCCATTAACATGGTGTCCAGGTCAGAACGGATCAAGGCAACTTTATCCGTAAAGAACCGAGCAAATGCTTCACAGCGGGCCGTCAAGTTGTCAGGGTTCCCATCCGGAACGATGGGATTTAACAGACCTCTGACAACTCGAAACAGATCCGCCGGACAGTTCGTTGCGGACACAATATTGGCCGCAAAGAAATATTTCTTTGTGGCCTTTAATGCTGCGGCATATGCCCTTAGCAGGGCATCAAGCCTTCCCCCGGTTGGATCCGAACGCCACACACCCTCTAGGCTCCCTTTCCTTCACTTCATCACTGCCAACTCCTCGTTGAACCAAGAAGATGGTTTAGCTCAGCTACTTTAGAGGGGCCATTCCGGAGCAATTGTCTCTATTCCCCTAGCCATTTCCCCATTGCAGAGAGTGACCAGAGCATCGACAGAATCACCTACTGAGGTGGCGGGGAACTCCTCAACAGCCGTCAGGAAACCATCCAGATCCATAAGCCTCCTGGGGCGGACCATCTTAATGAGTCCTCTACCCCTGCAGAGGTTAGTGGGCGCAATGAGCCTAAATCTGATCAGGTAGTGGTGGGTCCATGGCAACGGAGCGGTGGTCAGCTCCTTTATACCATCACCATCCCTCCATCCTTGGCAGAAAACCAAATCCAATGTGTGTCCAGCACTGTGAGTAGGGCCAGTTATTAGTTGGGACAGCCCCATGGTCGCCATTGAAGACATGAAGTCCTGAGCTGCTTCTGATAGGGTGGCCTCGGCGTGGACATTGAAATTCCCAAGCACAATTAGCCGCTGAGACTCCAACACCAGGCTCAAGACCACCCCGGCTAGCTCAGGTAGGGAGACTGTAGTGCAGCAAGGTGGATGATACACTAACAGAATCCCTATTCTGTCCTGGTCACCTACCCTCAGGTAGACTTATTCAAAATTCATTGACTGTGGGATGGAGCACCTACTCAGGGAGATGCAATCCTTATAGACCACTGCAACCTCTCCTCCCCGCCCTCCAGATCTCGGCTGGTGCTGCACGAAGAAAACTGGTGGGCAAAGCTGGGTCAGATTTACACCTCCAGCCTCGCCCAACTAGGTCTCCACTATGCACGCCAGATCTGCCCATTCATTCAGAATTAAATATTGGATGAAAGCTGTTTTTCCATTAACAGATCTTGCGTGCAACAGCACCACCCATAATCAGTTTAAAGCTCAATATTCCGATCTTCAATTGTATTAAAAATTCAATGTTTCCTTGTTTTCTCAAAGGAAAGTGCAGAAATTAGATTAGATCAGCGACCTCCCTCCTGACGTTCAGGAAAAAACTGAAGACCTGGATATGGGACCAAGCTTTTGGACATGCTGGCAGCTAAAGGAAGATCTGACGACAAACATGGACGAATGGAATGGAATGAATATACGGAACTCTGAACACTGAGCATGAGATTGTTTTGCTATTTTATTATGTACTAATGTTTTTAACTTGTTAACTGTCTAAATTGTTGTAGGTATTGTTTGTTTATTGATTCAGGCATCGAATTGTGCCGTTGTTTGTAGGCCGCCCTGAGTCCCCCCTCGGGGGTGAGAAGGACGGGGTATAAGTAATTGAAATAAATAAATAAATAAATAAATCCTGTTGTTTTCTAATACAAAATCCAGAGCTGATTTAAAATACAGGGTCCATTATAATACATATAATTATACATTTACCTTTGTTTTCTCCTTGTTCACCAACAATCCAATGCCCTTTGTCTCTAGTTTCAGCTTTCAACAAGTTTGTAATAATATGTTGAAATCTTGCAGAGTCCAGATTACAACCAATGCCAATAACTCTGCTTTGAGGAAATCCACTCATCTTCCAAGATATATATGTCATTATTTCCACTGTACATTAAACACATATATATGTGAAAAGTCATAAACATTACACTGTTAGTTCGATACAACATACCAGTTTACAATCAAATGAAAAGCTTGTATAGAACTTTTAACAAGCACCGGAGATTGGATAACAACAGTTCTACTTATTTAAATAGAATCTTCTACAATTATCATAAAATATTTCAGCGTGGCTTTTTAAAATCCTTACATATTTCTTTTCAAGTTTCCAAAGCACTCTTACAATGAAATATCCCATGCAACTTGGTGAACAAAATCACATTGTTCATTGCTATTGTGTTTATTTTACTTGATAGCTTGCTTGGATGGCTTCTACAACTGCATAAGGATTGCAACATTTATCTTTGGCTAAGCTGATGCCTTCTGATCTGAGGAGGATAAGTATTCATTCTCTCTAAACATACATCCCAAAATTAAGCATGTTTGTTCAGTTGGGGCAGCCATTTGGTGTCTCTCTAGCATATCAATGGAACAATGACAGCAATACTCAGTGATTTTGCTTTCTTCTCATTCTCTCACAAACTCTGTCTGTCCACTTGACTTCTGCTAGTGGAAGGAGGCTAATTGGTTAACATCCCCTGATTTCAACTGGAAGTTTATTTAGGATCATAGTGTTTATTTGTTAAGAAAACAAGCAACATGATTTAGTATGCTGGACATTAAACACTGTTTTATGCAACTCTTTTGAATCAAGGAAGTACATTTCCCAACTTAATATCTGTCCATAGCAGAGTACCAAAAGTACACTTCCTCATATATCTATGCCAACACACACACACACACACACACACACACACACACACGTGTGGATGTGCAGATCACCTGTTGACTTATATCATCCCCATAGATTTCACAGGATTTTCTTAGACAAGGAATACTTAGAAATGGCTTTGTCAGTTCCTTCCTCTGAAATATAGGCCCTCATTTATACTAATCATTTAATGCAGTTCAAATCTACTTTCCAGCAGTGGTGGCCGGACAACAAACATCCACAAAACATGCAAATTAAAGCTTTTAACGTGCATCGGAAGCTCGGGTAATTAATGTTATAAGCCAGAGACTGTTAAATCCGAAAAGTAAAGCACTGCCTTACCGGGCTGAGAAGCGACAAGAAACACACTGTTTTGACTATAATGTGCTACTGATGGAATAATGTTTCTGAATAATTCCACATTGCTCTGAACAACATCCAGATAAGAGTCAGCATTGCCTAAGGAATTCACTGTAAGCACCACCAATTTTGAGTGTGCAGAGGCAGAAAAATCTAAGGAATACAAATAAATAATGTTAATCCATTTCTGCAATTTCAGTGTAGGACTTGCTTTTAAAAAGTTAACAGATTAAACATAGAATTTGCTTATCTATTTATTTTTTTCCTTAAATGAAAAATATGGTCTGTACTATCACAAAATTAATGTTGATATTCAGACAACAGGATAACAGCTAATACTACGTAAGCAAGCAAAAGTACCCTACACAACCTAGGCAATGCTTAGTTAATATGGTTTGAGTTTAGTTATGAAGAAGTACAGACAAACAAGATGAATGATGCCTTTTGTTACTTTTGTATTGCACCTCAATATTGTCATGTTTTAAATTACAATTGCCAAGTGAAATATTCTGACAAATAATGCTGAGAATTACTTGGAAAAATCACTTAAAACATGCAAGGAAAAGAATACACACACAAAATCAGTGTGTATGATTACCTTTGCTGATTTCCACTTTTGGCAAGGCAAAGATTTCCAGGTCCATTGTACCTCCTTTTACAGTACCTTCAGAGCAGTCCAAAACTACCACCTTGTCAACAATATCCTGTAAGAATTTTAAAAGGAAGTTGTTAATCTAAGAAATTATTGTTGTGTATTCTGAAGGGAAGTCCATGGGATTCAATCTAATCAAAGTACTCACAAAGCAACCAAAAAGCAGAGTTGCCAGATAAAAAGGGTAAAACTTCTGTATTTTTATTAGTTGCATAGAAAAGGAAATTTCATCCAGTGTTGCTTATTATGCAAGTTTCACCTACTGAAATTTCCTCCTCTATATAACCATGAATCAATACAGGAATCCCCATCTCTTATTTTATTTGGCAATGTGACCAAAACATTGTGCAATTTCTGTAATCAATCATACTTAATTATAAATATTAAATGAAAAAATCTGAAATCTTATACATTTCTACTCAGCTTGCTAAAATCTGGCCAGTTTAAATTAAGGCACTGATAAAAATACCCATTCCACAATTTATGATGTCAAGGTGAACATCAGCATGGATTGCCAGATGATGAAAGGCTGTACAGATTGGGTTTTGCAGAATAATCCTATTCAGTTTTATTCAAAAATGTTCAGTGTACCTTTACAGAAAAGTATATATGGAACCTTTTTGGGAGTAAGTCCCTTTGAATACAGCAAGACTTAATAAACATTTGTAATCATGATCAGTTAATTATGTCCAGACCTTATTTTGTTGAGAAAAGCATTTGTTCCCTCTCTTTGTTTCTCACTCCATATGCACACACATACCATTTTAGATAAAAGCTAAATTCTATTTGAATTATACTATATGTTTTCTTAAATTATTCTGTCTCACCATATACTTATTTCTAATAAATTATGTACCTTTGCTGAAATAGCCAGTGCACAAGCAAGGCCCAGATCTCCAGCTCCAACTACTGTAATTTTGTTAAATTCTCTGTCATATTCTTTCCCATTTCCCTTTGATTGTAGGTTATTTTCACCTAAAATAACACATCATAACTCATTTAATCTACAGACCTGAAAATACCACAGCTGCTTGAAGAAACACTGATTGGGTCTAATGAAACAAATTTTAACTAAGACATAATGGTTAGAAATTACAGCTAGTGGGCAAGGAATTGGAAGACCCAGGTTCAAATTACAAAGCTCACTGGATGACGCTGAACTAGTCATCATCTCTTGGCCTCGCCTACCTCACACAGGAGTTCTGAGCATACAAAATAATCAGTTACAGTGATAGTAATTTAACTTTACATTTATTCACAGGAAAAGTGATCCTTTATTACCAGTTATTTTATATGCATGGAAGCATATAAATGTTAACTGTTGACTTTTAAAATTAACTTTCCAAGTACAAAGTTGGGAGGAAGAGAATTGTAGGTATTATCCTAAGCTCACTTAAGCACATTTTCTTATTGAAGAAAAGGAAGCAGATAAATGCATTATTAATAAACTAACAATAAAACATGGTCATCTGTAAAGAACGAACAAACCTCATTTGTACATGAATATGTAGAGGTAAGTCCCTGTGTATTCAATGGGTCCTGCTCCCTGGTAAGTATGCATTCCTAACATGTGACTGGCTAGTTTTATGAATGTGAAACAAAACAAAAAAAGCTGCAAACCTTCAGTAATTTTGGCAATGTAAGATAGCAACTCCAACTGTCTGGCAGCATCAGCAGATGATAATGAGTACAGTGGAAGCTCCTCTTCAAATTTCATGGTCATTTCCTTTATCAATCCTACAATCATTGACTGTGGCTGAAATAAATATAGAATAATGAGAACCAGATTTTATTTGGCAAATGTTCTAATACAAAGATATCCTAAAGAAAAAAAGATAGCATTCTCTCTCTCTAAACACTCTCTGTGTGTAAGTTAACATGAACTAACATTTTATGTTGAAAGGAGCATGTTAACATAATAAAATATATATTACATCCATGACATCAAAATTGAAGAAACCTATCTATACAAAAACTTTGAACTGATTTTAGTAGCATTTAATTTAATGCGCACACATCCTTACATGGGTCCAGTTTTGTAGATATGGCAAGTAGATCCTTCCCCGGGCATCCACATGTTTTCCTACAGAAATCCCCATGTTTGCTGTGGGCTTCAAGTAGCAAATTGGAGGAGTAAGAGGATGAGAATCTAAAATCCATAGCCAAATTGGAATGTTGTAAGAACTCCCTGTAAAAATATAACACATAAGATACAACTATTACTTCTTGGTTCATCACGTAAAGGTTTTAAAATGCACATGTAATTTTTAGCAGGCTCTCCATATGCTGAATCAACTTTATCCACAAGGATCCCATGGCTTTCAAACAGAAATTACATATGTGCAAGCTAGCAATATTGAAGAACAGAGCTAGACAGTAGCTAGAATTAAGGTACAAGAGGCCTTCTTTCATATTCTATGATTTTTTTTCCAATACAGTACCTCAACTGCATCCATAGTCTACCTTAAAGAAGTCACTTCTCTGTCCACCACTGCACTGTCAAACTCTTATAATTAAAAAAAAATGTTATTGGTACTGAAGGAAGTTGCTATTTTACACTCTGGCTCTACTATCACAAAAAATCTGACTTACTCAAAGAGTATATCAGCAGTCCAATAAATACTTACCAGGCAGATTACAAATAAAAAACTATAATCATTAACAAAATGAAAAAATTACACATAGAAAAATAATAATGAACAGTAAAAGAAATAAAGCCAAAAAAAGACTTTGAGTAGACTAAAAGCCATTAGTGTGTCAGATGTGGTCCCTGGGGAGAGTATTCCAGAGCAATGGGGCATCACAAATTAGGAAATATCCACACTACAGAATTGTAGCAGTTTGATACCACATTGACTGTCATGGCTCAATGCTACAGAATGATGGGATTTTTAGTTTTGTGAGACACTTACCCTTAACTGTCAGAAAGCTCTTGTGCTACAACAAACTACAAATCACAATATTCCATAAGATGGAGCTCTAGCATAGTGTTGTCAAATTGCCATTATTCCACATATATACTCTAGAATTAATTAAGTTTTGCACCATTTCAACAGCTATGACTTAATGCTATGGAGTCTGGGGAGTAGTAGTTTCTTGGAGCTCTAGCACTCTTTGGCAGACAAGGTTAGAGGCCTTGTAAAACTACCACTCCCATCATCCCATAGCATTGTGCCATGGCAGTTAAAGTGATGTCAAACTGCCTTAATCCTGCAGTATAGTTGTACCCTTTGAAACCCTTTTCTCCCACCACCATTTTGCTACAGATATAGGGGTCATCCAGATAAGGGCTGTGGAAGACTGTCCTGGTGTCCCAAGATTAAGAATCACTCCCTTTAACAATAAATTACAACAGTTTGTGCCAGCGTCTATGCTGCCAAAACTTAACCACCAATAATTACCTCTGGGTGCTACAGAAAGTTGCATTTTGGTTGGAAAACAAAAACTGAAAAGACATTGTATCCTTGTGTGTGAGCATTAAATGGATTGGAGACTTTACAGGCTACATTGTCTTCCCAATGTCTACATATAGCCAATCTGCCTTTTGAAAAAATCTTATTAAGATTACAAAACACTTAATTATATGGGAGAATATAAATGTGTAAAAAGACAAGAAAACCAAGAGTAAAAGTTAAGACAGATTATAGTATTTTCTTAAAATGATTCCAATAATCTGTTATGAGTAATACATACACATATACTTACCTTGATATTTCACTGGAACTGTACCACTAAAATTCAGAAGGTCTTTCTGGGACCCATCCTTAAAAGCTAAAATTCAAAATGTTGATATATGTATTTCATTATTTTTAAACTTTAAAATCCTTTTAATATCAATACTGTCTGGTCTACTTTTGATATCAGAGGGAAGTTAATCGCATAACAGTGAAATAGTCAGAAAAATAAAAAGTGTTAAAATGTTAAATGTAAAAAGAAGCACAGTCAATATAGTTGTGACAGTATAGTATGTAATTCAGAAGCAGCAACAAGAAAACAAAACAAATAGTAGCAAACCAATTCTCTCATAGCAGAAGGAACTTGCAGTTTCTCAAGTCACTCCTGACACGGAACCCTCCTCCCCACCAAAACCCCCCACATTTATTATTCTTACTATAGGTACTCATAGCGAATCTGACGTTGGGATATAATTCATTTACACTCTTCAGTTCTTCTATGGTCAGATCTCGAAATTTATACTGGAGACAAAACAAACATAAATGTTACTTTAAATGTATTATTCTTAAGTAATTAGCCAATAGAGTTGAAATCCGAAATACATGAGAATGCAAGCTTCTGTGTCTTCTAAATTGCAAGTCAGGTGTAATCCTGATTCATTTCAGTGTCAACTCAAACCACTGATATATGCAATTTGGGTCTGACTACACAAGGATGTTATTACCATTGATTGCTTTGGACTAGGACTGGCGACTATGGTTCAAATCCCAGCTCATTCATGGAAAGCCACTGGGGGACCTTGGGCAAGTCACACTCTCTCAGCCTCAGAGGAAGGCAAAAGCAAACACCCTCTGAAGAAATCTTACCAAGAAAATGTCATAGTAAATAACCCTGTTGGGTTGTTCTAAGTTAGCAATTATGTGAAGGCACCAAACCTCAAAAGATAATTTCAACAGACATTGTTACATGGCCAGGGGGCTGTACTGTTCCATTAACCCCGCGGAAACCAAAAGGGGGTGCTAGACAGAAAATGATAGTCCATTTTATTGGGGGGGGGGGGCTGAAGGAGGAAAATCATTTCCCCTGCTTTTGCTGGTTATTCCACCTCCCTACTTAACAACAACAACAACTACAACTTTATTCTTTTATCCCGCCTTAATCTCTCCAAAGGGACTCAGGGTGGCTTACACAGGGACCAAGCCCAAAATAAAAACAAAGGTTACAAAGTAACCCAATTAAAAACATATAACATATTAAAACAGTAAAACCAATAAAAATAAGATATCATAAAACATAGACCAAACATCAAACAACCAGCAGCCAAAAAAAGTGGGCATGTGCAGATTTAAGACTAATAGGGCAGGACAAGGGCTTGTGCAAATGCAAACTATAGGGCCAGGTCTGGAAATAAGTGCTGGAGAACCAACCAAAAGATAGGGCTAGGCAGACTTAATCAGTAGCTAAACCATTATTCAAAGGCACATTGGAACATCCAAGTCTTCAAGTCTTTCTGGAAGGTGGACAAGGTGGGGGCTAATCTAATCTCCCACTTCATAATAAACTGTTGTTTCCACTGCTGCGATATGAGTGGGGGGACAGGAAAACAGGGGGCATATAAAATGGACTATCCTTCTCTGTCTGGCGCCCCTATTGGGCTTCGGCCCAGATAATGGAACCAGGGCTGTAGCCAGAAAAAAAAATCGGGTGGGGTTGAAAATTTCGGGGGGGGGGTTGAAAATTTGGGGGGGGGGGTTGAAACCTGCCTCCTAGCTCACGCTGAAGCAAAGAGCACAGCAGGGGGCAGAGCAGCCTTCCATAGCCTGCAGCTCCGCCCCTGTCAACCACCTCCACCAAGTCTGGCCTCCTTAATGAGAGCATTCAACACCCCCCCCCCACCCAACTTGGTTGCTTCACTACATCGGCTATTGCTGCAAGTAATGACAGTGTGAATAAATTGTCAATATTTGCTTGAGATAGTGCTTGCAGTTCTGGAGGGACTCTTAATTTTTTGCATCTCATAGACTTAGCATGGGGATTTGGTTAACCAGTTAAAATTCATGAGTAAACCAGGTTTTTTTACCTGAAAAATTGGGGGGGGGGGTTGAACCCCCCCCCCCCCCCCCCGCTACAGGCCTAAATGGAACAGTACCCAGGGGAATTTTCACAGTATAAGTTATGGCGTTATTATTCCACTTTACCAGCTGGGGTTCCACTCTAGGGAATTGTGGGATCTGGAGGCAGACGGTGCATCTGCACTGTAGAATAAATTCGGTCTGACACCACTTCAATTGTAATGGGTTAATATATTGAATCATGGGAGTTGTTTTACAACAGTCATGGGCAAACTTGGGCCCTCCAGGTGTTTTGGACTTCCATTGAAGTCCAAAACACCTGGAGTTGAAGTCCAAAACACCTGGAGGGCCCAAGTTTGCCCATGACTGTTTTACAAGGTCTTTAACCTTCAAAGTTCTGGTGCCTCACCGAACTACAACTCCCATGATTCCATAGCATTGAGCCCTGGCAGCTAAAATGATGTCAAACTGCATGAATGGTCCAGAGATGCATGCTGGGATTTGTGGTCTGTTGATCCCTGGCGCCAGGATCCCTTTGGGCCAAGCCCAAGTGGAGTAACAGCGCTATCATGGCTCAGTGTGAATAACAGGCACCAGGGCAAGAGCAGCCATTCGTTCTCCTGCACAGCCATTTAAAGGGACAGGATCCCTAACCGGTTTCCACCCTAAAAAAGTAAAAGGAGGTGGGCAACGGGGGCTCCCCCTCCTCCTCCTCGTCCCCCAGAAGGGGCTGCCATTCTATGGGGAGTGCGCCTTCCCGCTCGCCTTGCTCAGCCACTTCCTCAGCTTCTCCTCAGAGAACTCCATGGCAGGCTCCCAACACGGCACCGGCACTTCCTGTTGTCCCGGCTCGAGCGGGTGCGGGGAATGGACGGCAAACGCCAAGGAACAAAATAACTCGGGCGCCCTGGGTCGGGCAGAGCGCCCTGACCGGCTTGGCGACTTTTCCTCTCCTCTTTCCCCTCCTCCGCCCCGCCCCGCCCCTCGCGTATAACATTACACGCAGGACTCGTTCCTTTTCTTTCCCTCTGCTCTGGGCCACAAAGGGGTTTTTGTGCCAAATTTGATCCAGATCCATCAAGCCATGTAACAGCATAGACATACTTTGACTTCGAGATATAAATACAGTAGAGTCTCGCTTATCCAACATAAACTGGCCAGCAGAACATTAGATAAGCAAAAATGTTGGATAATGAGGGATTAAGGAAAAGACTATTAAACACCAAATAATAATAATAATAATAATAATAATAATAATAATAATAATAATAATAATAATAATAATAATAAAATAAACTTTCTTTATATATCACTCCATCTCCCCGAGGGGACTTAGAGCGGTTCCCAAGTAACATCACAAACCATACGGAGTAAAAACAATATAACCATAAGATTAACAAACAAAATGTAAGCATAAAAATTGTCACCATCACACACATGTATTAAAAGTAATCCTGCCTGTTCAAGCAATTAAAAATTTAAAAGGCCGGGCCAAGATTTGTGCAAGCCCAAAAATTCTAGGGGCCCCGGGAATTAAATGCAATGCTATGGCAGGCAACAATAATATTACATTATAATTTTACAAATTAAGCACCAAACCATCATGTTTTACAACAAATAAACAGAAAAAGCAGTTCAATACATGGTAACGTTATGTGGTAATTACTGAATTTACGAATTTAGCACCAAAACATCACAATGTATTGAAACAGCTGTGGATCCGGGTGATAGGCAGACTCTGTTGGATAATACAGTTGGATGAGTGAAGGCTGGAAAAGCGAGACTACTGTATAAAGAAAAATTAATTTAGGCTATATGTATAAGGGTATATAATAGCCTAATTGTAATTCTATACACAGTTTGTGGTTTGTGTTAAAGGAGATGGAAAACGGAAAGGGTTCAAATGTAGGAGTGAAGCAGCCATAGGGATTGGTAGATGCTGGATAAATGAAGTTTCTGATTGCTTGAGAGTTACTATTAAAACTGGCCTAACTAATATTATACCCTGTACTATACCACGCCATAAACTCTGTATTGACTTGATATTAATATTGAAATGAAGGTTTTTTTTGGTCGTGTCAGGAACGACTTGAGAAACTGCAATTCACTTCTGGTGTGAGAGAATTGGCCATCTGCAAGGATGATGCCCAGGGGACACCCGGATGAACTGATGTTTTCATCATCCTTGTGGGAGGCTTCTCTCATAACCCCACATGAGGATCTGGAGCTAATAGAGGGAGCTCATCCACCTCTCCCTGGATTCGAACCTGCAACCTGTCGGTCTTCAGTCCTGCTGGCACAAAAGTTTAACCCACAGCGCAACCAGGGGCTCCAGTGCAGTAATTAAAAGCAAATAAAAACAAATAAAGGTAAACTTAATGTAACACAGTTTTACTGTATTATAAAAAAAAAACCAAGATTAATTAATGTAAGTTATCATTTCTTCGACTTTTGCTAGTTGTTTGAGAGTTCTGGTTGCCTGAGTTCCAGTTAACATAGGCCCCTTCTACACTGTCTTTATACCCCAGGATCTGATCCCAGATTATCTGGCAGTAGAGACTCATACAATCCAGCATTTAACCACCATTGGTTGATGTGCGCAGTTTTATTGAGTTTAGATTGGTGTTTCATATGCGTATTTGTTTGATTTGTATTTTATACTGTGTTTATTTTATGTTCTGTTTTTAGGCACCTTATGCCATGTGAGTCTACCATATAATACTTTGAAACTGGACCCCTCTTCCTCACATTTGTGTGGGTTAGGTACCCCTGTTTAGTGGTCCCTCCTTGGTCCTGTTGTTCCTCTTGGACTGGGATCAAGCAAAAAAGAAGAGAGCAGACTGCTTGTAGCACTTTAAAAGCAGCAGAACTAATTAATTAAAGCAATAGCTGCAAAACTCCAGTGCAGCTGCAAAGTACAAAGTGTTTCAACACAGCATGTTTCAAGATGGCAACATGTTACAATTCCACAAAATGTTACAAATGGTTCAATGCATTGTCAAGTTTTACTAACCATTTGGAGCCAGAAACAAATTAAAAAACATATCTGCAGGTGGAGACTACCTTATGTCTGAGGTTAGGGGCTGTGTGCGCGCTAGGAGAGGCATTTAGTGGGAATAATTTAAATTCTATGCCCCACCTTTTCATGTGGTAAAGGTTATATTCACAAGCAGTTCATGGTTGCAAAGGTATTGGGTCTAGCTTTTTGAAACACTATTTATTTTTCTTGTTTGGTATTTTTATCAGTGTTTTCAAATATGGTGGCCAACAATCACTGGAGATCAGAACTGCCCCCTCTATTCTGTCGTTCAGAAAACGGGTGAAAACCTGGCTATGGGGTTTGGCTTTCGACGAGTGAATCAATATTTCTGTGATCGGATAGATGACGATGAATGATGGACAACGAATTCACTATGACGACTGACCATTGTTATTATGTGATTGCATTTTGCTGTTATAACGTTTTAATTGAATATGTTATATGATGTTTTTAATTATTGTTTTGTGATTTTATTGTTGGAAACTGGCCCGAGTCTCCCGATAGAGGGGAGAAGACCGGTATACAAAATTGCTAAATAAATAATAAATCATCTAAACTTTCCACTATCCTCATTTCATGCTCTCTGCTTTCCCATTTTCCAAAATATTTTCCATAATACTTTAAAGCCATATGTAGATAACGTGCTATCTCTGTGGTGCACAACTTTTAAGAGATGAAATGATATGCCTCCCTATGGCATATCATTCCATTTCCTAAATGTGACAGGCCTTTTGCTCTCAGTAAACATTAGGTCTGTGTATGCTCCCCCATCTTTAAGAAGGTGATGCTCAGAAAACGCACACTAAATAAACACAAAAAAATCAATGCTATTCTGTTTACCTTTAACTTTATCCACATCAACCAACACCAGAGAAAGTGCTGCACATGTTCTATAACTAATGTTTCTATCTGCTATGCCCACATGGGTTTAAAGCCATTTGTGTAATTAGACATTTTGACAGCATTGTCATTAAACTGTCCCTACAGCATTTCAAAAATCTGAGCTTTAATATTTGAGAACTTAAATAGCAATAGACAACCTAGTATGATCCTGAAGTTCTTCAGAGACTAGAGTTAGGTCCATGTAATGAAAGCGACGTTTGCAGTAATACTTGTACCATTACCTCGAAAAGTAATATTTGGGAATCACAACTGTGTGTTAGTTTTTGGTTCAGAGCTGTATTTCTTTCTACCCAAACTTTTTTTCATGCAATTATACCACGAAGGAGCCAAACATAAGGACAGCAAACTACCAACCTCCTTACAATTATCTCTGAAAGAAATCAAACTATTAATTGTACTATTCGCATTTTAAAATCCTTTCAAGTATGTTTAGTTTCTACATGGGAGGGTGGAGATACACTTCTAATTTTGATGCACATTCTGGCCACTTTTCTGCAGCTTAATTCCTATTGGAACAAAAATGCTTGCATTGCACAATCAAAACTAGGTTTGAAAAATGTTGTTTTTGCACTTGTTCCACCACAGTCTTCCCTTTGTCTGCTTTTTTGTGCAGAAATCACTCCATTTTCTCCCATCATTACCCACGAGACAACTTCTTCAAACATAGATCCAGAAACTCAATTACTTTTTGCTTTTCCTGCTGGATTCTCACAATGCCCCAGAAAAACATGTGCTCTGGCATTCAAAGTGTTGGAGGGGCTGGAAGAGAGCCAAGGAAGACCTACAGTTAAAGAAGTATGCAGGAAGATTCTCAAGTGAAAGAAATACAACACCTAGAAGCAAAGCTATAATCCTTCATCCAAGTAATTTTCCCATCTGTTCAGTTGATCTAGATTTTACATCTAGATATCACCATAATGACAGCACTAAGATGTATAAATACCCCTTCTCCCAGATGTACTGCATACTTCATTTGCTTGTGTTCGATTGTACCCCACTTTTCTAATCAAAGTGGGTTAGATGTGTTTCATCTTCCTTATTTTATTCATACAACCACCCTGTTCGGTAGGAACTTGCATAAGACCATCCACTGAGTTTCATTGCAAACAGAGGCTTGAACCTGATGTACACACACACCTATGATAACCTGAATGTACATAAGCTTAATGGGGGTCTTTATTTCACCAAGGAACTAATGAATTTTACTCCTCCCTCACTATGCAAATTCCTTCTTTGTTGGAATGAAAGAAAAAGTAAGCTTCTGTTGCTATCAAAGGGATGGAGAAGAGGGGACTCAATCCCACTGCCAACAAGTTTGTCACAGTTCATTATTTTTAATTCTCCTTTATTCAGATTTAAAAAAGAAATTACACTTCTTGCTATTTTCTTAACTAAATTTCCTCCTATCCTGTCAGATATACATACTTCAGGTTTAAACTGGTGCAAGTAAATGACATCATTTACTAGCATGGAGTAGTAGTAATACATTTACTGCTTGGAGTAGAATAAGGAAAACGAGGGCTAGGAAAGTCTGTTGACATGTATAATATTTGCAAACAAACATTTCCACAAAAAGAGACCATAGAAATCAAGCTGTCCATGATGATGGCGTAACTCATACACAAACGGCTGAACACAGGGCCCCCAGGGAAGAAAAAAACTGGAGGAACCTAGGAACTCTACTGTGCCAAGAAAAAAAAATCAAGAGATAAAGCGAGACATTCCTCTGAGTATGTTTAGCTTGGAGTAAAGAATGTTATGTCCTGCTCTCAGGAATCAAGACAGCAAAGAGAAAGAGCAGGTGGGAATTCTGGTACCTGAGCCTGAGAGTGGCAGCTCCCAGCAGCCTTAAAAATAAAGCATAGAAACACACCTTTATCATAAATATTTGGCTCAGAGATTGAAACTAGACTATAAACCTATCAGTTGTATTCAAAACCTTTGTTGTTGACAACTGGTATGGAATTCCATATGATTTTACTTTGGTTTAGATGTTATTAATCTCTTAGGCCCCTTTTACACTGCCATACAATCCAGATTATCAAAGCAAATAATCCACATTATCTGTTTCAACTGGATATGATTCCACATTGTCATATAATCCAGTTCAAAGCAGATAATATGGACTTTATATGGCAGTGTAGGGCCCCTTCTACACTGCCATATAATCCATATTATTAAAGCTGACAATCTAGATTTTGAACTGCATTATATGAATCTACACTGCCATATAATCCAGTTCAAAGCAGATAATCTGGATTATATATGATAGTGTAGAATGGGCCTTGAAGGGGCCTTAGATTGCCCAGACATTGCTTGGTTTGTCTCCTTGTTTGAACCTTGGACTGTTTGACTATGCCCCCTTCTACACTGCCATATAAAATCCAGATTATCTGCTTTGAACTGGATTATACACCAATGTAGACTCATATAATCCAATTCAAAGCAGATAATCTGGATAATCTGTGAATTATCTCATTTGATAATCTGGATTATAAAGCCGTGTAGAAGGGGCCTAAGACCCAGCTTTCGACTTTTCTGTTTATCTGGTAACTTTTTGGTTTGGATTTTCAGGGAGAGGGAAATACCAGATTTCTGTAGCTGTTTGCTAGTTTTTGTAGAAACAACCTTGAACTGCCTTCCAAAATAGGACAGGAAGACTGAGAGGAAACTGGATAAATCTTTAAAAGAATGTCACATTGATGAGGGAGTAAGTTTATTTTCTGGTGCTCTACAGACCAGAAAAGACAAGAAGCAATGGATTCAAATTGCAGGAAGAGATAATCCACCTAAACATTAGGAGTCTCAATGTATTGTTGAATGCTTTCATGGCCGGAATCACTGGGTTGTTGTAGGTTTTTTCGGGCTATATGGCCATGTTCTAGAGGCATTCTCTCCTGACATTTTGCCTTCATCTATGGCAAGCATCCTCAGAGGTAGTGAGGTCTGTTGGAGCTAGGGAAATTGGGTTTATATATCTGTGGAATGTCCAGGGTGGGAGAAAGAACTCTTGTCTGTTGGAGCTAGGTGTGAATGTTTCAGTTGGCCACCTTGATTAGCATTTGATGTCCTGGCAGTTTTTTGGTGTGGCTTGTTAGTGCCTGGAGGAATCTTTTGTTGAGAGGTGATTAGCTGTCCCTGATTGTTTCCTCTCTGGAGTTTCCCTGTGTTTGACTGTTGTTTTGCTGTTATAATTTTAGAGATTTTTAAAATACTGGTAGCCAGATTTTGTTCATTTCTCATGGTTTCCTCCTTTCCGTTGAAATTGTCCACATGCTTATGGATTTCAATAGCTTCTCTGTGTAGTCTGACATGGTGGTTGTGAGAGTGGTCCAGCATTTCTGTGTTCTCAAATAAAATGCTGTGTCCAGGTTGGTTCATCAGGTGCTCTGCTACGGCTTATTTCTCTTGTTGAAGTAGTCTGCAGTGCCTTTCATGATCCTTGATTCATGTTTGGGCAATTTTGCTGCGTTTGGCGGTCCCTCTGGAGACTTCTTGTCCACAGCTGCATGGTATACGGGAGACTCCTACAGAGGTGAGAGGATCCCTATTATCCTTTGATGAACGTAGCATTTGTCGGATTTTCTTGGTGGGTCTGTAGGTGGTTCGTATGTTATGTTTCCTCATCAGCTTCCCTATGCGGTCAGTGGTTCCCTTGATGTATGGCAAGAACACTTTTCCTCTGGGTGGATCATCATATTTACTCTTGAGGCTTGTTCTTGGTCTTGCAGCTCTTCTGATGTCTGAGGTGGAGTATCCATTGGCCTGGAGAGCCCAGTTGAGGTGGTTCAGTTCATCTTGGAGGAGGTGGGGTTCGCAGATTCTTTTTGCACGGTCTGCCAAGGCTTTAATGGTGCTTCTTTTTTGACTTGAGTGATGGTTGGAGTTTTTATGTAGATATCTATCTGTGTGTGTGGGTTTTCTGTAAACAGTGTGACCCAATTGTTGATCTGGTTTGTATAGTTTAACATGGTGGTTGTGAGAGTGGTCCAGCATTTCTGTGTTCTCAAATAATATGCTGTGTCCAGGTTGGTTCATCAGGTGCTCTGCTATGGCTGACTTCTCTGGTTGAAGTAGTCTGCAGTGCCTTTCATGTTCCTTGATTCGTGTTTGGGCGATGCTGCGTTTGGTGGTCCCTATGTAGACTTGTCCACAGCTGCCTGGTATACGGTAGACTCCTGTGGGATTTTCTGCCTTGATATTCTAGAATATAGGGCTGTGTGGAAGGGCCCTTTGACAACACTCTGAAAAGGAATTTTCCGTGACGTCACGACTGATTTACACGCCGTTAGCATCACGGAATTAAGATTAACTAGACCAATTGAAAGCTATAACTCGGCGCGCATGCGTGCGACAGAGCTGCAGCCGCTCGCTTTTTCAAAGGCGCTCTGTCACGTGACAGGACACAAACCTTCCCCGGAAAAAAGGGCCCAGTGCGTACGCTCTCCAGCAGGGCGGAAGTGACGTGTCCTCTGACCAAAGCCCTCGGTTTGACGAAGGCGAAGCGACGTAGAAGCCGGGGAGGCGGAGGGAGGGAGAGAGTGTGCGGGGGGCCATAGAGCTCTGGAACCGGAAGTGAGCGCGCCGAGGGGAGGCTGAGGAGGGGCGTCGGCGAGGAACTTTTCTTCGCCAGCTGGGCGAGCGAGAGAGAGGGAGAAGCCGGCGAGCCCAGGATGGAGTTCAACCACATCCTCAGGATGGCCTCGGAGCAGCAGGGGCTCAGCGCCACGCCGGTGAGGGGCACCAGAGGGAAGGGGAAGGAGAGCCTCCCCTCTTCACATGGAGGGGAGGGGATACACCCCCTTGCCCAGCTCCAAACCCTCCCAGCACGGTTTGCTCAGGCTCCTCAGTCCCTTTCCTCTGGGGGTGACGCACAGGGTGGATCTACGCTGCCGAATTAATGTAGTTTGGCACCGCCTTAACTGCCATGGCTCAGTGCTGTGGAATCATGGGAGCTGTAGCTTGGGGAAGTGTCAACACGCTTGAGCTGAGAAGGCTAGGTGTCTTGTAAAACTACAGCTCCCATGATCCCATAGTTTTGAGCAAACTTGGGCCCTCCAGGTGTTTTGGACTTCAACTCCCACCATTCCTCACAGCCTCAGATCCCTTCCTTTCCCCCCTCAGCCGCTTAAGCGGCTGAGGGGGGAAAGGAAAGGGTCTGAGGCTGTGAGGAATGGTGGGAGTTGAAGTCCAAAACACCTGCAGGGTCCAAGTTTGCCCATGCTTTGTCTTGAGCCATGGCTGGTGAAATGTGTCCTCTTTACTTAACCGCTTCAGGTTTGGCTCACAGGCCATCTCTACATTTTAGAATTTGAAACACTTTGAAATTGCTTTAATCCTCACGGCTCAGTGCCGTGGAATCATAGGAGTTGTATTTTGGTGAGGCACCAGCACTTTTTGGCAGAAAATCCTAAAGATCTTGTCATACTACAATTCCCGGGATTCTATGACATTGCACCATAGTGGTGTCAAAAACCGCATTCATTCTACAGTGTAGATCAGACATGGGCAAACTTCTCCCCTCCCCCAAGGCATTTTGGATACCAGGGTCTCATGGTACTATGCTGGCTTTCTGGCTAAAAAAAGCCTTATCTATGTGGAAGGGAGAAGATCACAAATGGGAACTAATCTTCATTCTCCAGCAGATAGGCAAGCTTATCCTCAAGTTGCACCCTTCTCTGTTCCTCTCCACCCTTTTTTGGCAGATTCTTTATGAAAGGACATTTTTTCTCTTTGTCATGACTTGGCATTTCATATGGTTTTTAATCTGTTTGATTGATTGATACTTGATTAAATTGCTTATATGTTTAGATTGTTTTATATTTTGATGAGATGTGTTTAATTATTTACCTGTGTGGCATTGATTTTTTGCTAGATTTTTAAGCCGCCTTGACTCCTCTCTGAGGTCGGGAAAAGTGGGATAGAAATGAAATAAATAATAATATCCATCTTCCTTTGTAATTATATGTTTAAAATCCCTTTAAAAAGCCCAGCCTAACCAAAGGTCTCGGTTACTGATATCTTTGATGTCAATGTAAGCATAGTTCTCTCCTTGAATTTAAAACCCTTGTCTTCTAAACCACTAGTATTAGATGCTGTGTTGAGACATACTGAGATTTTTGTCAAGGAAGAATGTGAAGTTGATAATACAAACGGTAGAGAAAAATGTATGCATATCCTCTCTGTTAATTGACTCAGTTCATCTGTATTGGTGGTTCTTTTGGACTCACAGACTCCTCTGTGAATCTGATTCAAAGATATAGGCCTTTTCCCAGAAAACTTTACTTGAACACACTTTTCAAAATTATAGGAAGAAAACGGAAAGAAAGCAGTAAACCTTTATACCTGATTAATGAACCCTAGAGGCCTCTACATGGACCTCATGCTAGGTATTCCTAGTTTATATTGTGCTAGTTTAGAAGGATCTCTTTCAGCTTTCAGTAAATGTGTAGCAAAGATGTTGGGTAGAATTGTCCATTTTTGTTGGATAAACCAGAAATTACTTTATTTTGCTTATTTTTCAGAAATATGTTTGGAGTAAATTAGGGCAAAAACATCAGAATCAGTCATAAGAAAAAACAAACCCTTAATTTCACCTTTGCTAATACTATTAATTGTATATTTGCTTTGGTCTCAGTTTTCATACTAGTTGTTTATTTCAAACATATATTATGTTCAGGTATATTGTTTATATGTGGGTGTGCATTCTTGCTTCTGCTTGTCTGTTTTATCTAAAAGTTAATTACATATTAACAATGTGAATATGCCTACTTGTGCTTCAAACAAACAATAGTTATAACGTCTTTGACTTAGATATGTATTCTAGTAATTAAGTTGTGTGTTTTATAATAACCTGACTTGTCCAAATTTAATTTACAGATTCTTGAGTATCTTTTGAAGAAAGTAAAAACGAGTACAAGTATAGATTTACTATATTTCTTGGTTGCTATTTCAAAACTGCAATTGCAGTGGAAATTCTACTGTAACAAGATGTATTCTTTCCCTCAAAATCCTTAATAAGAAAACTATCAGTTCATACGCTTTGTTTCCAGCCATATCTCATCTTTCATTGTAACTTTTGCATTTCTTTTTTGTGATCATTTTGTGCTGTATTCCTCTGTAAAGTAGTATGATTATTAATGGTGTTTTATAAACATAAATTTCTAAAAAGTGAATTATTAGTACACAAACATAAAGAGTACTAATGAGAGTTCAGGCAAAGAGTAAGATTTTCTAAACTTACATTTAAATTTTCAAAACTGCATTTTGAAAAATATTTTCAACTCAGTTTTTAGGTCTTGCATCTCAGTATGTTAAATTGTAATGAAGTAAGGTATTACAAGTGAAAAAAAGGAGAATCCAGTATAGAAGCTATTTATTTTTTTAGAAATTCAATGCATGAGTCATTATAGCAAATCTGTTCCCTATTCCTTACTTCAGACCATTTCTTTGGTGGTGTTCCAGTGATGGAAGCAGTTCTGTCAGCAGTATGAAGTGAGGAGCAATGCCCCTTTAGCAGCCTTCCTCCACCCAGTCTCCCCAGATCTCCTCTAGATGGTTGGGAATATCTCTTTGAGCAGAGAGGAAATAAAGGGGAGTGTCATGTAGTGCCAAGGGTAGACTGCTTAATGTAGTGTGAGATCCTGATCTTTAAAGCATGGGTACATGTGCCTTCCAAGTTTCCTGTTGACATAGGGTGACCTCATGATTTTCATAAAGGTCTTCTTACTCAGAAGGGGTTTGCATTGCCTTCTCCTGAAATACAGTATACCATACCTTGGCATCACAGCCTGGAGTGAGTTTATTCTCTACTACCTTAGGTACTCGGTGATGCCCGGGTTAGGTAGTTCATAATGTTATTTATTATAAAGGTCATAGCTTTTGAATTTATGAATGGTCCCATTAGAAAATGCATAAGGATGTGGGTTAACTACATCTCCTATCATCCCAGTTCCATCCCCCCCCCCCCAAACACTGCCAACAATTAAATTTGGTCATGATGGGTATGTGAGCCAAGTATGGTCTAGATCCATCATCCTAGATCAATTCCTCCCAAACCCCTGCAGTACTAAATGTTGATTGTGATGGGTATGTGTGCCCAGGTTTGGTTGAAATCCATCGTTGTTGTGGTTCACAGTGCTCTCTGGAGGTCCTCTCTGAAAGTGTGGTGAACTACAATTCCTATTATCAAAGTTCAGCCCCACCCCTCCATTATTTTGTGCTAGTCATGGTGGGTATGTGTGCCAGTTTGTTACAGATCCGTTGTTTACGGGAATCACAGGGCTCTCTGGAAGTGGGAGCCATCTTGGAAAATACATATATAGATACATACAAACAAGCATGCATACATATTTTCACACACACGCACACACACATATATACACATTTACATATATAGAGAGAGATGAATAGAAAGCAATATACTCAAAATATAGTATTATCAAGTTGCTCTGTATCCTGCTTTAATCATACAGAAAACCATTTTTTTCTGTCTAATGAAGAAACCTTATTAGCATTCAGCTGAAATATATTGTTCAAACCTTCACTAATTTTGGCAGGAGAGACCTTTGTAATTTCTGCATTATGCAGCTGTAAAAACAAACATAGTAAAGGTGATGTGTTGCCACTGTTATTTTATTTAACAAAACATTTCTTAGAACTCTGTAAAACAATAACATAAAAATGTAGAACAATGGAAAAGTTGCATAGCTAAACTAATAATTAGGGGAGAGCTTGTATAAATTGTAGTAGTTTTCTACTTGTGCCAAAAATGAAATAATATCAGTGAATGCTTTATCTTTTCTGGAGGAGACTTGCTACTACACTGAAAGCTAGCACTGAGTAGTCACAAAGTGCACATTGACAGCATTTGAACTACCAAATCTTCCATTTACCATTGTGGTTGGGGGAATTCCTGAAACTGAAATGTAAAAAAAGTTGTTTCCATGCTCTAGCTATTTGTTTGAATAGGTAATTTGCAACTCTGTACTATAAAGCTTTTGTTTATTGGTAGTACTGAGAGTATTAACCCTCCTGCAAATTCAGAACACACTAAAGAAAAAAAGAGCCCCTTGAATCCTCCTGCCCTTACGTCCTCTTGGGCATAGGATAGATTTCAGCATATGTTGCATAAAGAACAGCTGCAAGACTTGTGTGTGCATCTAAAAGAGAATGTGTTTGGCTATACATGCTTTTTTGTCTTTTGTAGAATCTGTCAATATGTATTTTAGAAAACAGATGTTCAAATAGTATATTCAGTATGATCTCTTCAGTGGACAGGATTTAAAGACGGCACAATAGAAAAATATAATTCTTTAAATTTTTATTTTAAAATGCTCATGGTTAAAACCAAGAAAGGGTTAGACTAGAATTATATCCATACTGTTTACTTTTGGATGTTGCTCACTTACTGTAATGTACTTAATTTACCCTAAGGCTGCAGTCCTTAGCAACATAAAGCTGGGTTCAAAGGTTCACTTCTGATAAGAGTAGTCACTTTCCAATATGATCTGTGCTTTGCTTAGACTCCTTTTGTTGAAAGGGTGCCCTTGGAGCCTTCCTATTAACTTTGAAATGAATCCTACTTATTTCATGGGATTTACTTGTGAGTAAATGTGAATATATGTGTGCAAAATATTCACATTTACGCATGTATTATATTATCCTCAATGTAATTTCCAATTTGATACCTGTATGATCAATTACTAAGGAATAAGCTAATGCATACTTATTGTAAAATGTGAGGTTGGCATTGAAACTGTCTCTTGATTTATCACAGAGAGAATGCTTGATGTATCAGCTTTATAGTAATACAATAATAGTATTGCATCATGTCTCACTGAAATTTTAGACCTATCGGTTATCTCCCTTGGGAAAGCCACAGTAAGAAATAATTACCTGTTTTTAAAGTGATGTGACTAGTAACATGTTTAGTGGTACTCATGTATGTCAGGAATTTTGGTCAAAAAATCATCAAAATTCATAATTTTGGCCCCAAAAGGTGCCCTTTACTTATACATGACTGTATATGATATTTCCATTACTAGAGATCTTCAACATCTGACCTGTGAACAAATGCCTCTGTTAGCTGTATTATCTTCTTACTCTCTAATAGTAACATATGGCTTGTATCTTTTACCCATCAAATAGTAACATAATACCTTCTATAGCACAAGAATTGAAACAGGCTATATATAACACAAGAACTTAAGAAAATGTTTCCGCTTTTTCCAGCTTCGTTGTTGCTTTGTGCTATGAGTAGTTTTGAACTTAAAGCAAGGTCAATCAGAACTGAGAGAGATCTTTGTTGTATTTTGGACAGTTGAAAAGCAGTTTCGAAAGTGAAAAGCAGGTGCTGTTTTCACTTTGGTTTTTTTGTTGTTGAGGGTAAGTCTGCTCATTGTAAGAGAAGGGAATTGGTTTGAAGTTAACATTGCTAGAGGTTGTAATTTTTACTAATGTTGCAAGACATGTGTATCCTCTTTTTTAAAAATTAGTTTTTAAATTTTGTGATTTTCAGTTTTTGTCATTTAAAGGTCCAGTGCTTTGCAATAACAGCTGTTTGGGGTGTTTGCATTGTTGTAGCATTCAGCCATTACAGTGGTGATCTGGACCTGCTAAGATATAGCAAATGTATATAGTTTCTAAAGCCACATCAAGAATAACCAAACTTTTTTTCCTTGACTAAAAAGACCAACTGTTGTTTTATGAAACAGAATGAAATAACAGTCCTGTCCACTTAATGGTAAATTATTAGCATTTAACAAGTTAACTGTAAAAGAGCTCAATGCCCCATACAAGCTATATACTTTATTAAGACTAAATATGCCTAAAATTAGTAAACTCAGGAGTTTCAAAACATGAAATATATTTATTGTGCACCTGGAAATGTAATTATAGCTCAGTTTGTGAAAATAACAAAAAGCCTCAATGCTGCTTCTTTTAATTAAAATTATGTAGAAAACATAGTATTTTTGACAAATAGAGCGGTTACCCTCAGAAAGCAATCGCTGGTTGACTTTTGATTTTCTAGACAAGGAAGAGTCTATTGTTGGGTGAAACACCTGTTTTAGAAACAATGTGGTGAGGCCTACAGCCTCACTTGAAATAGTTATACCTACAAAGTGGCCCATTGTTTTAAAATACAGTGGGTCCTTACTTATTTGTAGTGATGCATCTTTTTGGTTTTGTTTGCTAAAACCTCTCAATTTACCTACAGAGAAGTGTGAGAGAAGGGCTGTTGGGTATGATTTACTCCTGCATCAGTCTACATCTTTATGAAGTGAGGGAGCAACAGGTTGTACTGCAGTTTTTGTAAGGTAGATCTTAACATGAGGGAACCTCTATCACAGTTGTCAAACACCCTGAATATTGTGGAAGCAAGTGTTTAAAAAAAACTCGGATTTGGTATGAATTAACCTTATTCTTTGTCTTTACAGAAAAGATATAGCTTGGCAGTAGGCCCCCCTAAAAAGGATCCTAAAGTTAAAGGTGTTCAATCAGCAGCTGTGAGAGCCTTCCTCAAGCGGCAAGAAGAAGAACAGAAAAACAAGGGTATTGCTTAAAATTACTTTTATTATCCTTAGACCATTGTCAATTACTCACTCTTTGTACACATTCCATTTGGAATAACATTTAATGCATTTTAAAGTTGTTATTTTCATTATTCCTTTTGTTTTGGATGTTCAGTGGCTTCCAGCGTCAAATGAAATCTGACAAATTTGTCAAAAGTTGATAATTTTATAGTATCTTTTCCATATTAATGCAGAAATAGTTAGAAAATCACCTGTGCACTGAAGAGAAGCTCTGACATTGAGACCTTCTAAAGCATAGCAATTATTTTTTTAAAAAAATCCAAACTACTATTTCTCCCCATTTATAGAAAGACCTTCTGGTCCCTGTGCTACCATATCAGCATGGCTCTTTGAAAGTCCCCTCACAGCAATTTGCCATGTGGAATCAGGGGCTGCTGTTTGAAAAACTGAAGCCATACCCTCCTGAGTATGCCGAATTAATTATGCAGCTATTTGGATCCCAGCCGCAGTGTATAAAGAGAGGCTGTTAATTAAATTCTGTGTTGTTCCCAAGTGTAATGTTTAAGTTTCATCTGCATTTTGATTATTTAAGTGTTGTATTGCCAGAATATAAATATTTATGCAGAAATTTTCCTTCTTTCCAGTTCTTGAGGAAAAAAGAAGAAAAGAAGAGCTTCTAGCTAAGCGTATTGAATTGAAACATGACCGAAAAGCCAGAGCTATGGCTTCGCGGACAAAGGACAATTTCTGTGGCTATAATGGAATTCCTATGGAAGAGAAGCCCAAAAAGAGGCAGGGCCGTGGAAGCAGCTTTGATAGGAACCCAGAAGAAGCTGAACACATGACTGGCGATGAAATGGAACAGTATGAATATAGTCAGACAGAATCTGAACATGAATTAGAAGAACATGAAGAAAAACCAGCCAAAGCATCAGTGAAACCAAAGGCAGCTCTCAAAAGTGCACCTCCAGCAATGAATTTTCATGATCTTCTGAAACTGGCGGAAAAAAAACAGTATGAACCAGTTGAAATTAAAATAGTGAAAAAAACGGAAGAAAGGCCCATGACTGCAGAAGAACTAAGAGAGCGGGAATTCTTAGAACGGAAAAATCGAAAAGGGGTTGCAGTGAAAGAGAAGAGGGTAGAAAAAGAGATGAAACCTATAGTTGCATCCAGTTCTTCCAAAAAAGAAATTTTGCACAAGGCTTTAAAAAATGCTAAACTTGGCAGACATTCAGCAGATGAACATACTGTCTCTAAAGGAAGTCTTCCCTCACACAGTGGTGTTGATAAGAAACCCAAAGGACCAGAATTAATTGAAAAGCAATCAAAGCTGTCATCTTCTTCCAAACCTAACCACATTGAAAAAGCAAAGCCTTCAGCAACTAAGGGGTTTTTAAAAAACCCAAAGAGCAACAGTGAGAGTAAACCTGTATCCAGTGAGGGGAGGAAATTGGGGCCTAGTTCCCATACTCAGGTCTTGAAAAGAACTGCAAATGGAACTCTCAAACAACCTCCTGCTAATGAACCTAGTCTGAAAAAAAAGATTAACCCTACGAAACCAGCTCATGTGGCTGCTGCCCAGCATGAAAATGTGAAAAATTCCAGTTCCAAGCCAGTAAGCAGCGGTTCAGCCACAGGAGTACCTCTTTCACACGCAAAGGGCAGTTTACGTACAGGGGCAGGGAAGCCAAACAGCAGCTTGCTTACAGGACATGGGTCAAAAAGTATGGCTCCTGGGCAAACAGGGAACCGCTCAGGATTAGGGCAGCTGAGCAGCAGCTCAAATGTGGCAACTGGCCGGCCAGGCAGCACATCAGGCACAGGGTTCGGCCGACCCACCAGCACACTGGGTATGGGGTCTGGCCGGCCAGGCAGCAGTACAGGACCAGGGCGTTCTGCCAGTAATCAAAGTGTAGGACCTGGCCGGCCAGGTAGCAGCCTGAACACTGGACTGGGAAGAAGTAGCACCTTGGGATCCGGGCCGGGCCGACCAAGTAGCGCTTCTCTTGGAACTCTAAAACCAAAGTGCACTGTTGTATCAGAAACAATCTCTTCTAAAAATCTGGTCACAAAGCTTGGCAGTGCCCAAATTAATGGAATGAGGCCATTTCCCCAGCAAAGACCTGGAATCCCCCCACAAGGTATTTCAACAGTTGATTATTTTAAATTGGCTGATATACATTCTTTTTCCCCCCCCCCCCCCCCCATATATATGTTGTTTAATTAAAACTATTTGACATTGCATCCTCAAATTCATTGAGGAATAATCCTCATAATATCAAACACAAATTTAATGTATTTCTCCAAAAGGTAATAGACAGCTTAATCCATTAAATATTTACTTGGATTTGAGGAACCTTTCACACCATAGAATTATAGTGCTGTGATTCCAAGTATACATGAAGTATAATGTGGAAAATCATCTACATTAAACAGGGGCAAATCACATGATTGTGTATTTGAAAAATTGTTGGTGAACTTAATGTGACTTCTGGTTTGTGTAAGTTCAAATGCATGCGTGCATGATGAGCCCTAAGAGAGTTTAATTGATTATTCTTTGTGACAGACATTTCTGGAGAGGCTCGGAAAATTCCCTTGATATAAAGCATTACAGTTATTTCTGTTAGGGAGGAAATTATTGTTTCATTGTAGGCCACCTTCATTTTTGTGGAAAACAGCAGTGACATGATCAATACCATGCCCCATAGCAAAAGTTTTCTGCTCACTGCATTTCTATGTGACACCATTTCCACAAGAAGGACTGCTAAGCCATTCTGGAAAGGAAAAAGATTGTGAAACCCAATGAGTATGCCAATACTATTTTCCATTTGAGCATCTCCTTAGTCAAACACTGCACCCAGTGCCAGATTTACCATTGTGCTTAGGCGTGCTTTAAAAAAATAGTCAGGGGGGCCATCTTCCTGCCAAAAAAAAGAAGAATTTTTTAACTGGATTTTGCTCATGTGCAATTCTAAATTTGAAGGCATTCTGTTTCGGAGCAATTCCAGACATTATGATAGAGTTGATAGTCTACGGGAGTATGTCACAAAGCAGGCAGTGTAGGCCTACCTCCTTCAGGGCCTAAGTCAGAGATTTCCTAACCTAACTAGAACAGGGCCTCGTTTATCCTAAATCTGGCACTGACTGCACAGTTTTTGAGATCTGCTATAATATATCAAGTAGAAAAAACGAATACAAAAGCACTATGGTTGTAAATAATCATATCAGTAGTTTTTGCATCTAAGACCTTTACAGTGATTAATTTGTTGCTCTATATCTTAAACTATGAAGCTTCATGACAACAAATGTTTTGTCCAAAAAATATTTCAATGCCACAGAAAATCAGACTTGTACTGTTTTATAATTCTGAATATTCTTTCCTCTAGGCTTTCCAAGGTCTTCTCTTCCACCTATTACTTACAAAAGGCAATATGAAGATGATGAAGATGAAGAAGATTCTGAAATGGAGGATTTCATTGATGATGAAGGGGAACCCCAAGAAGAAATTTCTAGGCATATTAGAGAAATATTTGGCTATGATCGAAAGAGGTGAGCAAAGAAGCCTTAGGTGTTTTTGCCATTGTGTGCGTGCCATCACACATACATAATGCAACACCTTGATTTTCGTCTAGAATACCTCTGGAACAATATATATATATATATATAGCACAGTTCTACAACATTTATGAAAATAACATAAAATATAACTAAAATTTGCATGGAAACGTTTTTTAAAAATGAAGATAAAATAGTGCATATTTTTATCTGCTAATGTTTTTTCGCTTTTGAAAAAGTTGCTCAGAAGAGCAGAAATTGAGCAGAAGTTCTTTATGACTTCTGTCTATTATCACTTGCAGTAAAATAAGTATTTTTCTCACACAACATAATTCAGGGTCTTGATTCTGTGAATGCTAAAGTTTGCATGACATTTTGCAGGGATTGTGTGTGTGTGTATGTGTATGTATGCATGCATGTATGTATGTATATATATGTGTGTGTGTGGCCTGCTTTCACGGATTTTAGAAAACGTGGATGTGTGTTTGCATGCACAGATAATATGCTTAATTGATAAAATACACGAGAGCATGAGATTAGTTAGGTTTAAGTCACTAGTCCCAGCAGACACATTTGGCACAGCTATTGTTAAGTATAACACTGGAAAAATCTGTTTTGGTTTAAGTATATTTGCAGTTTGGGGTTTGAAAATCATTCATTTCTCTTCTTACAATTCTGAGAATGCCCCATACTACTTCCAGGTATAAAGATGAAAGTGATTATGCGTTACGTTACATGGAAAGCAGCTGGAAAGAGCAGCAAAAGGAAGAGGCTAAGAGGTAAGTATTAGAGTTATATTTATCCAATTCATTAAGGAATATTCAGGTAATTCTAGATCATAATCAACCTGTAATCTTCTACCACTTCTCATTTTGTAAATTCATTTCATATTTATTTTAGCATTTCTGTAGTATTTTAATTATATCCTCAGTTAACAGGAAGTATTTGAAAAGCTTATCCTCTGATTTAGAAATGAATTTTAAAATATCCCAAGACTGAGCTAGATTTGGACCCTGAATCTTCCATGCTTTGGAGAATGTCAAAATATTATTCATATACAATAGTATCACAAATACGGAGAACGCAAGGGATTGTGTGCTGCATTTGTCAAACTTGGAATGAGGCATAATATTGCTTTAATAAATATCTGGCAGTGTGGCATACAGTGATTCCAAGGGACTTAGTCATGTTAGCATGAAGCATAAATGTCAGTCCTGTGTTAACATTTGTGATAGTGACTTCCCTATCCAGTTTCAAATTAATGAGCTATGCCGAATCATTTTAATGTAAGTATGTTTAAATGTGAATCATACATTGGAAAATAAGGACAGCCAAGTTCTAGAAATTGAGTCTCTACCAGAAGGGTCTAGCACAGTCAAAATTAGTGTTTCATGTCAATTGCAGAACAATTTTATTTGTCTCAGTGTTCACAGTTGAGACTTCGACTCTAAGCTAGATTTATGTTCTAGAAGGCTGTAGATTTGAGATATACTCTTCTGTCACAAATTACACACCTTGACTGTTTAGACATAAATGATTGGTTCTCTGAACTAATTAACATAATATTTTCTCTTTGGTATCTGGTCATGATGACTAATATAAAATATGGGATGACTAATGTGTACACACTTGTTTCTTATTGATGCCTCGCTACCAATGAAGATCCAACTTCATGGGCAAAGCTTTAACAAATCACAGTCAGTGATTCTCAGTGGTCCCAGGTTTTAAATTCACATATAATACACTGAATGAGGACATAAAACTAAGAATTATGGCATGTATAAATAACCTCTAAGAATGCTGTCTTGACCATTCTTTCTGTACACTAAATATGGGGCTGCTTTTATGTGATATTGCAGCGTAACTTATAAAAAAAATACTTGTGAACACATAGTTACAATTAAATGGAGAGATGTACTCATTTGGAAGTGTGGGTTGGCTGAAGCTTCCTACTGAATATGTGCTTTGTGGCAAATACATTTGTGGAATGCTGTGTCCATTCTGGGCACTGCAATTTAAGGGAGATGTTGACAAGCTGGAATGTGTCCAGAGAAGGGCAACTAAAATGATCAAGGGTCTGGAGAACAAGCCCTATAAGGAGCGACGTAAAGAGCTGGGCATATTTAGCCTGCAGAAGAGAAGGCTGAGAGAAGACATGATGGCCATGTATAAATATGTGAGGGGAAGTCATAGAGAGGAGGGAGCTTGTTTTCTGCTGCTTTGGAGACTCGGATGTGGAACAATGGCTTCAAATTGCAGGAAAGGAGATTCCACCTGAACATTAGGAAGAACTTCTTAACTGTGAAAGCTGTTCAGCAGTGGAACTCTCTGCCCTGGAGTGTGGTGGAGGCTCCTTCTTTGGAGGCTTTTGAGCAGAGGCTGGATGGCTATCTGCCAGTGGTGCTTTGAATGTTGTTTTCCTGCTTCTTGGCAGGAGGTTGGACTGGATGGTCCATGAGGTCTCTTCCAACTCTGATTCTATGAAATGTGGTTTTACCTTGGTGTAGTATTTAGGATGGAACTGAGAAGTTGACTTCATAATTTATACCCAGCTACAATATTCCCTAGCCTCAGTCAAAAAAATCGTGGCACAAATTTTGTTTAAAAGTACGATTAAGCTTATTTATCCCCAACCTTAACCCCACATTCTGAATAGCAATTCACTTTGTAATATGCCACATAAACATATCTATGGATCTAGAAGACACACTCTGCATGTGTTTGAGAAGCTCCCTGTAGCATGCTGCTGTTTTCAGTAACTGCTACATTTCAAGCCTCACGTGTCTTAGAAAGATAAGTTAATACATTTTAGTTTCTATTTGGTCATTTGCCAAACATAAAGCCTCCACTTTATGTAATGTAAACCTTCCCTTTATCACATAATAGAAACAGCATAAACTATTCCAGTGCTGTTCCATTCCTTTAAATATTTGGGGTTTGCCAACATCCAATCCTTTGCAAAATGGCCAAGGCTACCTTGAGGCTGTTTGACTCTGGTAACTGGGAGGCAGGGAAGTTATTCTAACTTGGATTTTAATCTGTTTAGGATTATTTGGGTCACAAATACCTCATAAATTCAGTGTGAATATTTATTTATTCTTTAGCTTGAGACTTGGAATGCAAGAAGATTTGGAAGAGCTGAGACGTGAAGAGGAGGAACTAAAACAGAAGAAGCAGGCAAAGAAACTAAGAACACGTTAACCCATTTGCCACAGCTGATTTTCCATTGTTCTTCCTTTCTCCTACATTATTCTACTTCTTCCAGATTTCAGCTACGGTTATATTTGGCATATGAGAGAGCAACTGTGTAGAGCATGTAAACCTAGACATTATGAGTTGGATTCATACTATTACTCAGCTGGGTTTTGCAGTCATTGGAGGTCCGTGACTTGGACAGATGGTTGTTTCCTCACCTCCCACCAGCAGTCCCCATGAGCACTACCCCTCCTGTTCAGGAATAGGGGGAGGAAGTGGTTATGGTGAGGGCTCCAGGGAGATGGAGGAGTTAGAAAAAAAAATGGCATCTCTACTTCCTTCCTCCTTCAGGAAAGCATATATTGAAGCCCAGTTTTCTCACAAAATGGAGATCTTCTTTGTATTGTGGATGCCAGGATGCAACTGGTGATTTCTTGGTTTCCCCAACCCCTATCTACCTGCCTAGATTACCTTTTTACAAAATAAAAAATGCACTAATGGAGGATATTAGTTGGAATAATGGAAATGAATGATACTACTGCCTGGAGTAGTACAAGGATGCCAGCAGACTACTGACAGACTATGCACTGGCTTGCAGCAAGTGGGCCTACACAATATGCCAGTCTGCATTCTTAATTCTTAGTTTTACTTTAAAATTGAATAATGTCCATATTATCTTCTCTTTTCAAAAAATCATGTTGTCCCAGGTCAAAATTTAGAAGTTGTTGGAGTTTTTTTCCTGTTCAGTAAAGCACAGATTTAAAACATGTAGCTGATGTTATTTTGAAAGCAATATTAACATGTACTGTGATTTCTGTTTGAAAAAAAAAATCTGAAAAAGCAAAAATACCCTGAAAAATCAAGATCTTTGATTGCACAAATTAGTTGGTGGGTTCTATCTTCCTGCAAACAGCAACACTAAGCATGAGGAAAGAGGCAGCCGCTACCTGTTTGACAACATACATTTGCTCTTGTCCCCTTGCTAAGCCATTTTGCTGACTCTAGATATTGTTTTTTTCCCCTATACAAATGAAACTGTTCTCTTGGGGAATTGAGAAAATCTGTCCTATCTCTCTGTGCTTTAGGTTGAAATCTCCCTTCAGGTACTGAGAGTTTGACATTTGATCTCTTTCTCGGTTGCCATGCAGCTGTTTCAATCATGCAGAAATTATTTGAATAGAAATGGGACCAAATTATGAGGTTGCCTCTTAGAGCCGCCGCAAACTAGCCTCCTGCGGGAGCAAACCTTGCCAGCACGTCCCTGACGTCATGAGACTGCGCCTCTCTCTCCGCCCCTTTGAATTCTGCCAACAACGAGAGTACGCTGGCAATGCTGCCCTAGCAAAGGAAAAACCACTCTGGCACGGAGAAAGAGGCTGAGAAAGGGGCGGGGTGAGAGGCGGAGTCTCATGACGTCAGGGATGTGCTGGCAAGGTTTGCTCCCGCAGGAGGCTAGTTTGCGACGGGTCTTAGGCCTCAATTTCATTGCCACAAATAATTTTAAAACCATATGTGAAAGATGCAAACTTTCTATTTTGTATATTGTTTCTATGGTTTTGGCTAAACTACATTTTAATAATATTTCTAGGTATCCTTAAAATGTAGTTTCTCCTATTTTTAGTTTTCTAATTGCAAATGAGGTGCTTGTTGTGTAACCTCCAAAGCCTTCCACTGTATATTACAACTAGTATTGGGCTATTTGTTATATACAATACCAATTGGATTGACATGTCTTGTCTACTTATGGGCATATTTATATAATTCTGTATACCTGCTTGATAGAATTGATAAATAGATTGCTAGATGAGAAATAATTCTTTATAGCTGATCTAAGAATTCATTTTAATCTGTTTCTAAACCATTGGTTATACACTGCTTTTGAGCTATGCACTACAAATTAAATGTATCCATAGTAAATGTGTTTATGTAGCAAGAAGTACACATTCATTCAGTCCTACAAAATTGTACTCTGCAATTTCAGTCCCAGGTTCTATTTTTATTCCTACTTAAATCACTATGGTGCACATCCTCCACATTTTCAGGTTTGACGTTTGAGTATTTCTGGATTTAATTGAAATGTTATATCTAGGACAGTGGTGTACAACCTGTGGCCATCCAGAAGTTTGGGCCTCCAACCCCCAGAAGCCCTAGCCAGTAAAATTGTTATGAATTCTGGGAGCTGAAGTGCAAAACACCTGGAGGGACCCAGACTGTGCTCCACTCTTCTAGGAATATCTAGGTCCTTTGTGATCCATTTCTACTGGAAGCTTATCTCAGTATCATAATGAAAGACCAGGGCAGTGGTTCTCAACCTGTGGGTCCCCAGATGTTTTGGCCCACAACTCCCAGAAATCCTAATAGCTGGTAAACTGGCTGGGATTTCTGGGAGTTGTAGGCCAAAACACCTGGGGACCCACAGGTTGAGAACCACTGACCTAGAGATTCATTGAGAGGTGTTTTCTCAGGTAAACAATCAAAGTTATTTTCATTCATGGTCCCCCCCCCCCCCATGTTTACATCAATAGAGGTCGTGCACCCACTAACCCCAATGAATGTGGAACACTGACTATATTTCAAGTAGCTCTTTTATGAACTTGATATTTTTCTCAAACAATATAAATTGAGTTCTAAAAATGACGGTTGATGAAGATTTGGGCACAGTAGCCAAGCAACAGGGTATTTTGGCAAGGAGTGGCTAAGGATTGAATAACTGCTGGTTTTTTTGTTTTGTTTTTTTGTCGTGTCAGGAGCAAGTCGACAGAAGCGACTTGCTCTTAACTGCTGGTAAAAGTAGATTTGTCATAAATAACTGGAAAGCCTGGACTCTGTTTTAATTATGTGTCAACACAAGAACTGTTCAGTCAGCAGAGCCAAAATGTAAACTATTCAAACTTTTTAAAATTGCATATTCTGAAATAAAATAGTTGGGCATGCTGCTTTCCAAGAGCTCTGAAGTTTACTGTTTTTCCTACTGCTATTTTTCCAGAGCTATTTGTATTATACTTTTTTCTATATATGCCCAAACTAATCTGTTTTGATATAATCATTATATATATGAACAAGTGTCCTGCACAACAACCATTTATCATTTTTTTCTCATTCAAAATGATGACTGTTGGAAACATGGCTAAGTTGCTGTTCATTTTACAGTTCTGATGTGAAAAAACTATAGCATCAGTCCAGATAATTGTTTTTAACAAGCCTTGGAACTTGTAAGGAATTTATAATAGTGCCCTATATAGGGCAGAAACCCTATATATACAGTAATCCACATTTTGGTTTTAATTGTTTCTTTCAAGTTTAATTCAAGACTTCATTCTGAAACACTTCAGTGTTTTTCCAGCATGGCAGGGAGTTGGACTAGATGGCCCATGTGGACTCTTCGAACTCATTCTATGATTCTATGAGTGTTGCTACTAATAATCTATCACTCATTAAAATGTACTCTTCATATAGTACTCTGAACCCCTGAGTAATTTTGCATTCCAGAGGTAAAGTATTATATTTTCAGATGGTGTGATCTTGAATACTTTCCCTGTTAATCTTTCGTATTTCTTTATCTTACATATTAAAAAATGGCCACTGACTGATATCAATACTTAAACAAAAATATTCAAGGTTTCTCCTAAGGTAAATAAAATTACAAAGCTAAAAAAGAAGTTAGAGTATCTCCCTTCCTGAGATATCAAACATTGTTAGCAACTTCATAGATAATTATGAAAACTAACTTGGGTTGCATATTTGTTCAATGACTAGATGATGTGCCTTTTAAAATATACTTTACTTATTTTCATGACTGTTGAAACAGGGGTAATTCTGCTGTCAAATATGTTGTATTGAATAATGTGAAATAGGTAGTTTTTCATAAAGCCCTTCCAAGTTTTGCTTTGCACAAATACAGTAGTTAGTATTTATTGGTATTACTAAACAAAAATTAAGGGCACTTTATATTTATCAAAATGCTTCATTTTACAATTGTCTTCTCAGTATTTTATTAAGTCTGTACTTATACTTTTTTACAGAAGTATCTGTCAGAGACCAGGGCAGCGTGTATCCATTATCAGTGAATAACTCTGATTTTTAAAACAGAGCTCTTTCAAAATCTGTAAAATTGTATTTTTATATAAGATCTCATGTTTAGCTAGTTTATTTAGTTTTTATTTGGCCTTTGCTTTCTGTAATCTTAATTACCCCTGTAACTAAATTGTGTTTCTACATATATAGCAAGAGACCAAACACATTGGAAAGAAAATGCAGTCTTGAAGAGACTAGTGAATAAATTGTGATGACTATGTTGGGATTTTTATTTATTTTGTTGAGTCAGTGTGATACAATCAAGTGTTAGCGTATAACAAAGGATGTTTCTAGAGTCCATGCTATGTTTTCGTTAACATCATTGTGTTTTACACAATGTGACAAATCAGGTAAAAAACTGTTAAGCATAACCTTTTTTCTGGTGCTTTTGTATGCTCTCGCATATGCACAGTGAAGGCTGAAGGAAGTGATGTATATAATAAATTTCTGACATTAAACATATTACTGAAATTGTCACTGGTCTGCTTTAATTTGAAGGAGATGCTCAAGTTCTGTTATACCCCTTTATCTAAGACCCATTGTAAAACATTGCTCCTTAAGAAGAAATCTTTGAGCTTTTATTCTGTTAAGAATTTATCTGTGGGGAAGAAGTAGGACTTTAGTTTATTATTAAAAATGATATTAAAATTGCCAAGTCCTAAATTAGATCTAATATAAAAAGCTTTATGTGATGGGCTACAATACTTTAAACTGTTGTATAAAAAGTAAAGATAAATGTTTCCCCTGACATTAAGTCTCGTCGTGTCTGACTCTAAGGGGTGGTGCTCATCTCCATTTCTAAGAGCCGGCATTGTCCATAGACATCTCCAAGGTCATATGGTCAGCATGACTGCATGGATCACCGTTACCTTCCTGCCGGAGCGGTATCTATTGATCTACTCACATTTGCATGTTTTTGAACTGCTATGTTGGCTTAAGCTGGGCCTAATATCGGGAGTTCACCTGCTCCCCGGATTCTAATCACCAACCTTTCAGTCAGCGAGTTCAGCAGCTCAGCAGTTTAACCCGCTATGCCACCGTGGGCCCTACAAAATACTGTTGTATACATTTGTAAATAACATATCAGTGGTCTGTTTTTGAAACAGAAATGGGTTTTAAAACAAGTTCATAGTAATACTGTAAGATCAGCTTTTTAGTTCAAACAGCAGAAATTCCACTAGGGTTTCTATATAATTCTGTTATTTGGATTTTGCTTTTTGTTCTTGCATGTTATAAACTGCTGCTCCAGCTAAGTCTGTAAAGGAATAAGAGCAGAACGTTTAAGGACATTTTTGAATACAGTACTTGTCAGCATCACAACATGTGTATAATTTAAAGCAAAAGAGATACATTTCAGCACATCTCAGCATAACCTTATTGGGATGTGGAAACAGCTGAGAAGTAGAACACTCTTTTACTGCCTGGAGATTTTTAGGATTGCTGATAATGAATCTTCAGATATTATTGAAGCAACAAAACCGAACAGTTCAATGAATTCATTAAATACTTTGTCCTATTTTAGCATCAGGAAATGCAGGCATGCATCAAAAGCTTTGTGAGGTGAAGGGAATGAAACTGAGCCCAGGTGAGGCCTTGAGAGACTTCACCTTGCTCTGGGCCATGTGGCTGAATTCCCATTGCCAAGCAGTCACCTTTTTGTCACATGTAACTTTATTCAATAGCTAGTCATCCCTCTTTTGTATCCAGTAAAAAGACTTGTTGTTTTACATATTTAATTCCTTAGTCACACGTAGTTAAACTGTCCAGTATTTGTAAGTGCTTGAATGCTGCCTTTTCCCAATGCCTTACAATAATAAGGTTTCTAACAGATACTAGCAAATAATATTACACTGTAAGAGAAGCTCCAATGCAACATGTGACTGGAAGTTATATGTATTGCTTGGAAGAAGCACACACTGAATCACACAAGTGAAAATGACAGTTTGCGGATATATGTTTCAAATTTGGCATGAGATCCTGCATGTATCACATAGCGCTATGCATTGTATAAAGAGTTCCATCTCTTGCGTACAAAAGAAAAGCAGCCCGTTTTCAGGTCTGTCCAGATGTAAGAGTTTATTGCCTGCCTGTGCTTCAACAAGGTGGTAAATTAACTGACATAAATCATAGATAAGACTCAAAGGTAATTTCCAAGACCCTTGTCCTTTTATGAGAGCCCTGCATCATTTTAACATGTTAGGTTGTGTTTCAATACTGCATCCATTAGCTCTTGAGCACTCCTAAAGTCTCCTTTCTCACTGATGTTTTAAGCTGCACTTCAGAACTGGAACTTCTTCATTGCTTTTCAGATATTCAGGAATTCTACCCTGGGCTGTGTCCATCTTCCATATGATGCCAATTAATGCTTACCACCTTCTTTTTTTGCTGCTTCAGCCTGTAAACCAAACATGCAGAATGTTACCAAATGATCTGGAGAGAAATGTTTCACAGCTTGACCAGGGTTCATTCAAATCAGGTTACTATGATGAGAAATAAAGCCCCCCCCCCCCCCCACCAAACAGTACTAAAATATGAATTGGTGGTGTCATTATTTTCCTTGGTTGCTCCATAAGAAATTAGAAGTGATATGTTTATATTCTCTCCTAAATTTTAGTGTTAAGCCATTCAAATTGAATAACTCCACCTCCATGGTTTGTTTGTTAGCTGTCGATATATATAATTAGCAGAATTGATCTAGCTTACATGTTGCTATTTTGATGATTTTACATCATCTATTTTTGATCTTGCCAGCATGAAGAACAGCTGGCAAGTTTTGCAGAGTAATGAAATCCAGATCTTGATACTTAGATAGTGAACATACAAGAGAGCCAGTATGGTCTAAAATGGTTTGGGTGTAAGATTAGGACTCTGAGAGCCCAGGTTCAAGTCTTCACTCAGCCATAGACATTCACTGAACATTTCTGCCATAGAGGAACGCAGTGGCAAACCAACTCTACATCAGTCTTTATAGAGAAAGCCTATTACGTTGTTTATTTATTTATTTATTTATTTATTTATTACTGCGCTTGTATACCGCTATTTCTCAGCCTGAATCGGCGACTCAATGCGGTTTACAACAATACAAAAATCACAATATTCAGTTTAAAAGCATATAAACACATATACAATACAAAATTATTGGGCCACCAATAACAATCCAATTGCATCTCATAACTGAAATCGCAATCCAATCTCGTCGTCCATGGTTACCAGTCCTTTGAACATCAGAATTCATTGCACCGGGTTAACCGAATGCTTGTTCAAACATCCATGTCTTCAATCTTTTCCGAAACACCATCAGCGAGGTTGGAGCAAACTTACATTTAAATAAAGTTGTAACTGTAAGGGCTAAGTCTGAATGTGTGTGTGTGTAGCCCAAAACTGAAGGTCCAGTTAATATTCTGTTTCCACCATCAGGAATATATTCTCTATGGAATGTGAGAAAAGATAAAACCATGAAATATACTGCATAAATACTGCAACACTTTGGGCAATGCGACACCAAGGACTTTAGTAACCATTGCATCACTAAAAAGTGATACTTAAGATTTCATGACAAAGGCCAAGTGCTGTGGTTTTTAATTTTGAATATGTTTTGATGGATTTTAACTATGCATTTTTTAGTGCTGTTTGTGTTTAATTCTGTTTTAATGGTTGCATATTTGTATATTTTAAATTGTATACGAATGATTTTATATCAAGTTGGTTTGAGTCCCCTTTGGGGAGATAAAGTGGGGTAATAATCATCATCATCATCTTCATCATCATCTGGTGGAGGCAGATTTTGACTACTTGGTTAAGGGAGAAACTCTTACACAATTACATTTTACAATGGAAAAATCTCAATTAGCTGCAACTTCTTGAAGATTTTATACATTGCATCTAAATGAAACTTTATGCAAGTGTAACATGCCGACAAAGTATAACAAATTATTTGTATCTTGCTGTAGAAAAATGGATTTTGAAACATGATGGAATGATGCCCTAATGCTTTTCTGAAATTGTGTGATTGTTCATTATGTATTATGTGTACAAAATGACATTACTTTTATCTTCTACAGGTAGCACTTGGTTCTAAATAATCATGCATAGGATAATAGTGTGCCCTGGATTTATTTAGTTATGTATTACAGCAGTCCTTTCAACTTGGCCTCTCCAGAGAATTGGGCCTTCAACTGCAGATAGCAATCTCAATAGTAAATGATTATGGGAGTAATAGTCCAAAATATCAGGAGAACACAAATTGGAAAAAACGGTTTATGTGAATCAATACACTTCAGTTGACCTAACTTTTATTTCGTATATAACCCTGAATTTTCAGGAACAATTTATGCATGCGGGTAAATAATATTTCAGATTGTTAATTGTAAGTGGTAGTGGTTTTGATGGGGTTTCACGCATGCTCAAAAGACACACACCTCTCACTGAACGCAGTATGGATTTGTGGAAAAAATAATATGGCAGCACAGCCAAGTTATGTGTAAAAAAAGCATTAGACAGACTTGATTTCAAGGCAGATAATCAGAGCTCAGGAGGTCATAAAGGGGATCTATAGGAGGAAAAATGTATCAAAAGTGAGATAATGCAATCCGGATGTGAATTTACTACAAAAGATGACTGAAGTTGGAATTGAAAGCTTTAAGCTGATAAAGACAGAGGGCACATCTGCACTGACCACTTATGGCAGAATGGACCCAGATTATCTCCATGATGGACGAATAACACATGGAGTTGATATGGGGTAACAAGGGGCAAGGCCACCTTAATATGGTCTTGCTCTGTGCTAACCAATGTTGAGAGTCAGAATTCGGACCCAGAATTTGGAGTATCTCCCAACTTTGACCCCATTCGGTGTATCTCCCAACTTTGGCCTGAGGTGGAATTGTCCACACCTGTTTTACTGACATCCCATGTTTTGTGGGCTCGGGCAGCCTGGAGACACAAGATGGCACTTACTGTCCCCTCCTGCTCTCCATGTTGTGGTGCTCTACAGCCACAATGTGGACCCTACCAGTCTGCAAACACATACAGTGATGTCAGCTGGGGCAATGGGGTAATTGGGGGAGGGGGGAAGGGAAGCAGGTGATGAGGGGTGATTGCTCTCTACTTTCTCCCTTGTTCCCCTAGCTGATGTCACTGCAGGCGAAGGCTGGCCAATGCCCATCTCATTGGATCTGCTGGTCAGCCTTCGCCTGCAGTGATGTCAGCTAGGGGAACAAGGGAGGAAGTGGGGAGCAATCACCCCTCATTACCTTCTTCCCTCCCCCCAATTACCCTGTTGCCCCAGCTGACATCACTGACCAGTGGATTCCATGAGGTGGCCACTGGCCAGAAACCATGATTTGAAGGAGGGAAGGAGACAGTAGGGAGATGGCCAGTGTGTTTGGTACTGCTGGTACTCAAACTCAAACTCTGAAGACTCTTATAAGTCACCCTGTGGACTCCTTCCCACCTTCACAGCAGCCAGAGGA